GCTGGTAGCCTACCTCATTTAATACCCCCCCCCCTCTTTCCTCCAGCGTGGCCTATTTAACCCTTTCCCCGGCGACTGGGTGTAATCGACCCGAAGTCGCTATATTTTTGCTCATATCTCGAGTCTCGTTTTATAAATTTTTCTGGGCCTCATTCCCATCTATAAGGTGGTTGGGATGAACACATTGGAGGTTGTAAATTTAAAAAATATGCGTAAAAAATTTTTTTATGAGGGTTTGAAATTTTTTTATACGGTCCCTGGCAACTGGGTGCTACACACCCGTACACAATTTTGAATGGAAAAAGTATTTATAACTTATAAACTGGCTTCTAAATATTTGTTTTTACTCATTGTGGGTTAAGTCATTGTGTTACATTTTCAAAGTTTAACTATAAATTAACAATCTAAAGGTATTTGAGTAACAAAAATATCAAACCGATTGAAGTAATCAACTTTAGTAATAAAATAATAGAATATTAACACGTTTTAAAAATTTGCACCTCAGAGAGCACAGTTGTTAGTTAAAATTAAAATAACTGGACATTTCCTTTTGCTGGCAGGGAACTTAAGTTTTTTTTAATAAAATATGGGCACCCTTTTAGTGGTAATACATGAGTCACAGGTCCAAAATATTTTAATTCCATACTTATCGGAATTGCTTGGTATGTATTGGATAAATCTACTCCCACCTCTAAAATCAACCACTTGCTAATTAGTAATGATCTCTCCAGAAACATAACACCTTTCTAAATTTGAATGGAATATCTACCATAATGGAAGCAAATATACCATGAGCCTGATGGACTGTTAGTTTTATTGTTGTGAAGTGAATATAACCCAGAAGGTTGCTGAATTTCTTCATAGAAAATTCTTCCTTCAAAAACTTCCATAAGCAGAACTGAATTGACATACAACTAAATTGTTATTCTGCAGAGAGCCAGTGTCTCCTCTTGCTTTCTCTCCATCCCTGCTAATGCAGTCAAATATTGGTTGTATTATTTTTTGTATTCATGCACAGAAGAAATATTTAGGGTCAGACTGTTTATAAATTTCCTGGGATTAGCACTTCAGGCAGTGGTCTAGTGTACTGTTACTTTGTCTTTCCTGAAAATATTTCTTTTTCTTCACTTTGCACCAGCCGTTTCATTTCATTATGAGTGCCAACTGTTGACACATTATTGATAGTTGAAATGCAGTATATTGGGTAGACCTCGTCATCAGAGCTGCTTGATACTGATGGCTGCCATTCTTCATCTTCTACCTCTGATACTGATGGCTGCCATTCTTCATCTTCTACCTCTGATACTAATAGTTCAGACTCAAAACTTGTTGTTCATTTTCACCTGCTATACTAAAACTGGCAAATATATTCCTTTATCATTAGCACTTAAGTTTAGACAAAAGCGTTCAAGACTTGTTTCTGTTGTGTTCTCAATAACGTTTGTGACTATTTATAAACCTTACTCTCAGGGTCACAACCTGTAGAACACCCACCCCACTTCCAGTTTGATCAATTAATTGCCCAGTATTAACTTTCAAGCAGCATTACAAAGTTGTTTTGCTTTTTTGTCCTCATTCGTACTCCTAATGAGGTTAATGTCAAGTTACTCTAAAAGGCTCGAATGTCTCTATCTACATTCCAGAGCTCCCTAAAAGAGTACAAATCACTATATATGTCCTCCCACAGGCAATCTTACCCCTGCATTTCATTAACCTATTGTAACTCTAAACTACAGTTCTGTCTGTAACTGCAAGTCAGAGCTCTAGCAAAGAGTATAAATCACTACATGTGTCCACCCACAGGTTAACTCTTGCTTAAGAATCCCATCAACCTGTAGTATCATATTACAGCTCTCCCATTGACAACAACATGTCTAGTGTTCCCCATGATCTCTGTGTCCTGAATACCTCAACTGTGTCAGTATTGTTACCCACTCCACAATGAACAAAGAAAAGAATTTACTATAAGAAAGTCTGTGGGTGTGATCCACCCAGTTGCCGGGGACAGGGTACCAAATATAAGAAACCATTGTTCACCCCCCTCCCCCTCCCCCCGTTTCCCCGTTGACCCTAGGTCGCATACCTGGGACGACGGAGGTGAGGTTGTTGCAAGCTCAGTGGAGAGCTATACTTTGGATGGAGTAGATGTGTATGGGTGTGCTTAGGCTGGTCGCGATGTTGGGCCGTTGCTGTCGTGTGAGATGCTGTACCGTTGCTGTTTAGATGGTGCAGAAGCTGTCGCTGTACCTGTCGTGATGTCGACCTGTCCTGTGAGAAGCTGTTGCTGTACCTGTCGTGATGTCGACCTGTCCTGTGAGAAGCTGTTGCTGTACCTGTCGACGTGATGTCCTGTCCTGTGAGCCGCTGTCGCTGTACATGCGGCTAGATGCTGTTGCTGTACCTGTCGTCGTAATGTCAACCTGTACTGTCCTATGAGATGCTGTTTCTGTGCCGGTCATCGAGATGTCAACCCGAGGCTGTCATTGAAAAGCTGTCCTGCAGACAGTCCCTGTTATGTCGCTGTATGTATGGAGTTGTGAGTACCGGTACTGCAAGTATGTAGAGTGATGATGTTGTTATTCGCTCTGATTATTGGAACACTGTAATCTATTGTATTGTCTGTAATACGTAATAAATGTATTGAAATGCTAAGTTTTATTTTTAGTTAAATATTAATGTTGTATTAGTGTTAAGTAATTAGTTTTGCTCAGGTCTTGTAGACCTTCCTGTCCCAACGGGAATGCCACGGATGAGTGAATAAGATCACCAATCGGTTTAAAAAACAAACAGTAACAGGAATAAATAATGTGCAAATAACATTGCAAGTTTAATTTTTTTTAAATACATATGTAGTCGACACTTTTTTTGTTTCAAATGTTGAGAATAGCCACTTGGTTACACAACTTATGAGAGTTACAATAGTTACAACAGTGACAAGAATTATAATAGTTACAACAGTTACAACAGTTACAATAGTTACAATAGTTACAATAGTTACAATAGTTACAATAGTTACAATAGTTACATTTGTTACATTTGTTACAATAGTTACAATAGTTACAATAGTTACAACAGTTACAACAGTTACAATAGTTACAATAGTTACAACAGTTACAATAATTACAATAGTTACAATAGTTACAATAGTTACAACAGTTACAATAGTTACAACAGTTACAATAGTTACAATAGTTACAATAGTTACAATAGTTACAACAGTTACAATAGTTACAACGAGTCGACCCGCTGCGTATCATACGCCGCTATTTAGTTGTTTTTTTCTACTTTTCAGTAATTTATAATTTGTGAATTCGACAGTACCAATGCTGCCACTGAAAATATAAAAACACTAAACCCCCCTCCCCCCCCCCCACGTGAAAGCAGCCTCCTCTTAGTTACCTCCTCTAAGTTTAAAATCGTTTCAAACTAAATTATCTATAGCCGTCACCAAACCCGTCTCTATGATTGTAAAATGTAAACAGCGTGACCACAGCTCACCAGACAATGTGGGGGTGGGGTGGGGGTGGTAGTGATAGAGAGAAAGAGAGGGGACTGCAAGGAGGCGCTTGCAGCTTGTTTTCTAACGGCTCCCAGAAGAGAATTATATATATAGATAGTTACAACAGTTACAATAGTTACAATAGTTACAATAGTTACAATAGTTACAACAGTTACAATAGTTACAACAGTTACAATAGTTACAATAGTTACAATAGTTACAATAGTTACAACAGTTACAATAGTTACAATAGTTACAATAGTTACAATGGTTACAATAGTTACAATAGTTACAATAGTTACAATAGTTACAACAGTTACAATAGTTACAATAGCTACAACGAGCCGACCCGCGGTGTATCATACGCCGCTATTGAGTTATTGTTTTTTCTACTTTTCAGTAATTCATAATTTGTGAATTCGACAGTACCAATGCTGCCACTGAAAATATTTGCTTTAAAACACTAAACCCCACTCCCCCCCTCGTGAAAGCAGCCTCCTCTTAGTTACCTCCTCTAAGTTTAAAATCGTTTCAAACTAAATTATCTGCCCCTAATAGCCGTCACGAAACCCGGCTCTACGATTGTTTTGTAAACATTTAGCGTGAACCGCAGCTCACCTGACCATGTGAGGGGTGGGGGTGGGGGAAGAGAGGAAACTGCAAGGGGCGCTTGCAGCTTGTTTTCTAACGTCTCCCAGAAGAGAATTATATATATATATAAATGGTTACAATAGTTACAATAGTTACAATAGTTACAATAGTTACAATAGTTACAATAGTTACAATGGTTACAATAGTTACAAGAATTACAATAGTTACAATAGTTACAAGAGTTAGTTACATGCACGGCGTTGTATAAAATTACAACTCAATGCTAGTTTATTACTATGATGAGTATTTCGTCTCAAGTATTGTGTAAGTCACTTTACAAAGTCCCCTACCACCCCCGTGTGTTATAAGCCCCTGTATTAAAATAGCTGTACGACTCTCTGACCCAATTTTTACTCCATGTCCGGGGAAAAGGTAGTGACGTCACGAATTACGTGTTGACATCCTGGATAATTTAAATAGGTCAAGTGAACTCTTTAAGTCCTGGGGAAACCTACAGGAGGTTCGCGCTCGCAGAAACGGAACCTGCTTGTTTTTAAACCACGCAATTACACGCTACCGTCCCTCCCCCGTTTTTTCCACAAGCCGACCCAGCGCATCGCTCCCGTGTCAAACTGACCCGCCTATAGGGGCTGCATGTGATCTAAATATAGCACATACATCAGGAGGAAAGGTTGATTAATTAGGTGAATTTGCGTGGCTTATTAACATAAGGTAAAGAAAGCTGGAAGGGGGGGGGGGGAGGCTGGTACTTTATGTTTTCAAAAACAACCAATTTCTCGGAATACCGTTCCCCGCTTGTACACGTCATTGGAAATTCCGTTACCATTCCACCAATTTCAGGATGTATTGTGTGTATAAATAAGGGAGTAGATGTAGCAGAGGTATGCCATTGGGCTCTTATCAGCTAGTGTAGTCTCAGTTACCTGTCAATACAGCACCAGTGTCCAGTCTCAGCTACCTGTCAAGACAGCACCAGTGTCCAGTCTCAGCTACCTGTCCATACAGCACCAGTGTCCAGTGTCAGCTACCTGTCCATACAGATTCCGTACAGTGCCAGACACCATGCCAAGCTTAAGATTCCTCGTCCTTCTGCTGGCGGCGGCCGCTGTGTGTGTGTCCCACTCCGCCCCCACAGACAGCAACCATGACGTCACAACGGTTCCAGCCACACAGACATCGTATGCTGAGATTGTCCAGAACTCCGAATCTCAAGATGTTGACGATGATGATGACGATGATGATGATGTTGATGTGAACACAGTCATTGATGGCGTGCCGGTGAAATACTTGACGTATGATGAGCTGGTCGATCTGATCAATGATGAGGACAATTTGGTCATGTCTGAGTTGGGTGAGTACTTGGGTGTGTGGTCATGTCTGAGTTGGGTGAGTACTTGGGTGTGTGCTCATGTCTGAGTTGGGTGAGTACTTGGGTGTGTGCTCATGTCTGAGTTGGGTGAGTACTTGGGTGTGTGCTCATGTCTGAGTTGGGTGAGTACTTGGGTGTGTGCTCATGTCTGAGTTGGGTGAGTACTTGGGTGTGTGCTCATGTCTGAGTTGGGTGAGTACTTGGGTGTGTGCTCATGTCTGAGTTGGGTGAGTACTTGGGTGTGTGCTCATGTCTGAGTTGGGTGAGTACTTGGGTGTGTGCTCATGTCTGAGTTGGGTGAGTACTTGGGTGTGTGCTCATGTCTGAGTTGGGTGAGTACTTGGGTGTGTGCTCATGTCTGAGTTGGGTGAGTACTTGGGTGTGTGCTCATGTCCTAGTTGGGTGAGTACTTGGGTGTGCTCATGTCTGAGTTGGGTGAGTACTAGAGGTGTGTGCTCATGTCTGAGTTGGGTGAGTACTTGGGAGTGCCCGTGGAATATCAAAACGACAGTAGGGGGTGTCTGTTATGTTATGGGGGGGGGGGGGGGTAGGGGTGGTTTGTCATTTGTTAAATTATGTGGGGAAGGCATGTAATCGTTCTTGAATCTTGGGAGTAGAAAGGTTTGTAGAAATATGTATAGGTAGCACAATTCAATAATGTTTAACTTTATTCTATTTCTTCCTTTTGTTTTCTAAAAATAACTTTTAATTTCTACCTGTTGGAAAATGTACTCACATGTGTGCTACGTTTTACACAACAGATATCGTGGCCATCAGACAAGTGATCCAGGCCAGACTAGCCAAAAACATCACCCCCCAGGGAGGCCGACAGAAGCGTTGGGTCCCCCTGGCCATGCGCCTGTTTCAGGCGGGTCGCGCGCTGTTCACAGGGTCAAGGGCAGGTCGCGTGACATCAAGCGGAAGTCGCATCACCAGACAGTATGACAGGTGAGTGACCTCACCACGTATGTGGGACACTTAGCCATCAACCCATATAATTGTACTAATCCAACATTCCGGCATTAGGAAAGCTCTCTTATCATTACCGGGCACATTTTTAAAGAGATAAAAACCCACTTGAAAATTTTTGCAATTTTTATTATAGAAATGTTTTGCTTAGAAACAGTCATAGGTTTTATACGACAGCTGTTATAAAAAAATCTTTTGAATATAAATCCAAAGTACATAAAACAAACAGCCATTATTGTATTATAATAAAGGTACGGTAAAATTAACACAATATCATACCATTAAAGCTAACAACAATAATAGTTTTCCTTAGTTATAAACGATAGTGCAAAATTAACAACGACGATAACAATTTTTAATAAAACGTAAACTAGCAGCTTCTACACATGTAAACCAGACATTTAAAATGTTTGCCAGCATATCCTACGGTGTAGTCATCAACTCTAATGTAAAGAGGTTGTCGTTACATCAATGTAAAGAGGTTGTCATTACATCAATGTAAGGAGGTTGTCATTACATCAATGTAAAGAGGTTGTCGTTACATTAATACACAAAACTCGATTTTATTTCCCCCCTCCCCATATTGTCATAGATAGTCACATACGAACGACCCCCCCCCCCCCCTCCCCCATGTATGACTTACCCCCCAAGTAACATTTTACCCTTGATCCCCCACAGACCAGGCAACTACAACGACGCTGTGAGAGACTTCAACAGATTCAATCCACAGAACCAGGGCACGTTCTCTGGACCAATCAACGGCCGGACCGGCACCGTAGGCAACCACAAGATCACAGTCCGTGACGGCAGCTCCAACGGTTCTCCCACCCTGGAGATCAGGTCCCCCAAAGGCGATGGTACCTTCGTCAGGAAGTTCCGCTACACTGAATAGTAACATCAAGATATCTTGTGATTTTAATCTTTGTAATGAACAGTAACATTATAATGGCTTGTGATTTTAATATTTGTTATGTATAACATGATATCTGGTTTTTAGGATTCTTTGGAGATTTTTCCATCTTTGTTATGGACATCGCAATGTCTAGTGATTTAAATCCTTGCATTGTACATCATTATGTGATTATGTTTTGTGATAATGTTTTTTTATAAACTTTACGTGTAATGAATGTAGTGTGCTGTTTTATCCTGCCAAATGATTTATGCCACCAAAGTTTGTGCCAAATCTATTCCCGTCCGTCTAAACCACGTTGCTCGTTGCATTTGTATTGTTTTCATAATTATGTAAGTTTACTAAAACATACATTTTAAGATTTTCAATCATGCTTTGACTTTGCAATGTAAACATTTTTTCATAATTTCTAATAAAGTTTTAATTTTAGTAAGCAGAAAGATTTCTGTGCTGTTATTTATGTTTGGTAAAGTTTAAAATGTTAACAAACTTTTAAAGTCTGGTGAAGGTGGCTTTTGTCTTATTTTGCTATTTGTGCAATATTTTGGCAAGTGGTCCGCTCTATCGACCATTGTTTAAAACAGACCATTGAAAGATTACGTCTTGGAAGTCCAAGCACACAAAAACTAGACACTAAGATGAGAAGAGCCTGATGTTGTCCATACATCAGGCACCCTATCCCCACACAGCTAATGGACACGAAGGAAACTGACGTATTCCATACCACTAGGAATAGGCAGTGTCGCAGAACCTGCCGAAAGTAAACCAGAGTTGCTTATCTTCTTACCCTTAGAGCCCTAACTACATAGATCAGTTTGTCAATCTGTAATTTTTATTGTTTTCCAGGAAAAGTAGGTTAATTAGCAGAATTAAGAGGAATTTAAATTACTTAATAATTTTCAAACTCACACGAAGCATGGATTTAAAATCTAATATCTTTAATCACCTGATAGATAAGCGGAGAATATTTAAGTATGTGTCGACATATTGTTCTGCCTATACACGAAGTCTGTGTCTTGTGTCTATATACCTTGTTGAGACATTCCGAATGTGCAATTTTAGCATTACCTAAGACTTCTGTAATTGTATGCAAACACTTGCCACACGTCGGTAAAGGTCGGTCTAGAAATTTACAAGCAAAAGAGAAAGATTATATAGGCAGGCTTCACCAGTAATGAGCCGTTAAGCGAATGGAAGTTCTTGGATAATTGCTTGAAGGAAAAGGAGGGTGAGGAGGGGGTACAGACGCCGGTTGAGAAATCATGTGCTTCAATAGATACTATTGTAAATCAGGATCCGCACATTCACATCCAAACTAAAATCTTTTTATTAATACTAATAGTTTCGCTGTCTGTGTATCTGACAAGAACGCTCTGTCTGACAAGAACGCTCTAGAGAAAACACAAGCAATTTAAAAACATGCACAGTAATTCGAAAAACGAAATATGACGTCGACACATTTAGCGCACAGAGTAGAAAATAATCTCAAACCCAGAGAGTGCTCAAAGTTATATGACGTCATTGATTTTCGCGTTAACATTGAATAAAAAGGAAATGTTGTCTAATCTTAATGGTTTGCGTGAAGAGTTTCTTGCATACAATTCTTCGGGTAGGGGCGAAGCCCCACCCCCCGCGTAAGAACGTCTGAGCCCCCCCCCCCTCGGGGAGGGGGCGGACACTGGAAAAAGTATATAATTATATTTCGTTGAATGGGACGGTAGACATGTTTTTTTTGGGGGGGTGGGGTGGGGGGGGGGGTGGGGGGGGTGGTGTGTGTGGGGGGGTGGGGTGGTTTTAGTTTAGACTTTTTCCTCCCCAGAGAGGGGTGGGGGGTACTTGAAATTTTCGGGGGCGGGGGTAGAATTTTCGGGGAAGGGGCGGACACTGGAAAAAGTATATAATTATATTTCGTTGAATGGGACGGTAGGCATGTTTTTTTTGGGGGGGGGGGGGGGGGGTGGAGGGGTGGGGGGTGGTGTGTGTGGGGGGGGGGCGGTGTGTGGAGGGGGTGGTGTGTGTGGGGGGTGGGGGGTGGGGGTGGGGGGGTGGTGTGTGGGGTGGGGTGGGGTGGGGGTGGTGTGTGTGGGGGGGGGGTGGGTTGGTTTTAGTTTAGAGAAAAGAGACAGCACTATCAAGCTAGCGCCCGGTGTATCCTTCCTCAACGGGCCATTTTTCTCGTCTATTAATACTAATAGTTTCGCTGTCTGTCTATCTATCTATCTGACAAGAACGCTCTAGAGAAAACACAAGGAAAATAAAAACATGCACAGTAATTCGAAAAACGAAGTATGACGTCGACACATTTAGCGCACAGAGTAGAAAATAATCTCAAACCCAGAGAGTGCTCAAAGTTATATGACGTCATTGATTTTCGCGTTAACATTGAATAAAAAGGAAATGTTGTCTAATCTTAATGGTTTGCGTGAAGAGTTTCTTGCATACAATTCTTCGGGTAGGGGCGAAGCCCCACCCCCCGCGTAAGAATGTCTGAGACCCCCCCCCCCCTCGGGGAGGGGGCGGACACTGGAAAAAGTATATAATTATATTTCGTTGAATGGGACGGTAGACATGTTTTTTTTGGGGGGGGGGGGGGTGGGGGGGGGGGGGGGGTGGGGGGTGTGGTGTGTGTGGGGGGTGGGGGGGTGGTGTGTGTGGGGGGTGGGGTGGTTTTAGTTTAGACTTTTTCCTCCCCAGAGAGGGGTGGGGGTACTTGAAATTTTCGGGGGCGGGGGTAGAATTTTCGGGGAAGGGGCGGACACTGGAAAAAGTATATAATTATATTTCGTTGAATGGGACGGTAGGCATGTTTTTTTTTTGGGGGGGGGGGGGGTGGAGGGGTGGGGGGGTGGTGTGTGTGGGGGGGGGGGGCGGTGTGTGGAGGGGGCGGTGTGTGTGGGGGGTGGGGGGTGGGGGTGGGGGGTGGTGTGTGGGGGTGGGGTGGGGGTGGTGTGTGTGGGGGGGGTGGGTGGGTTGGTTTTAGTTTAGAGAAAAGAGACAGCACTATCAAGCGAGCGCCCGGTGTATCCTTCCTCAACGGGCCATTTTTCTCGTAATAATAGTTTCGCTGTCTGTCAAGAACGCTCTGTCTGACAAGAACGCTCTAGAGAAAACACAAGCAAAATAAAAACATGCACAGTAATTCGAAAAACGAAATATGACGTCGACACATTTAGCGTAGAGTAGAACATAATCTCAAACCAGAGAGTGCACACAGTAATATGACGTCATTGATTATCGCGTAAACATTGAAAAAAAGGAAATGTTGTCTAATCTAAATGGTTTGCGTGAAGAGTTTCTTGCATACAATTCTTCGGGTAGGGGCGAAGCCCCACCCCCCGCGTAAGAACGTCTGAGCCCCCCCCCCCCTCCCCAACTCAAAAGAAATTTCCTCATCGATACTCTATAATAAAATTACAGCCTAATTAATGTGTCTAATCTAAAAAGTGGTTTTCTTGCAATGGGAAGGTAGACATGTTTTTTTTTTGGGGGGGTTGGGGGGGGGGGGGGGGGGAGGGGTGGAGGGGTGGGGGGGGGGGGTGGTGTGTAGGGGTGGGGGGTGGTGTGTGGGGGGGTGGGTTGGTTTCAGTGTTTCTTTCAGACTTTTTCCTCCCCGGAGAGGGGTGGGGGTACTTGAAATTTTCGGGGGCGGGGGTAGAATATTCTGGGAGGGGGCGGACACTGGAAAAAGTATATAATTATATTTCGTTGAATGGGACGGTAGACATGTTTTTTTTGGGGGGGTGGGGGGGCGGTGTGTGGAGGGGGTGGTGTGTGGGGGTGAGGGGTTGGGGTGGGGGTGGTGTGTGGTGGGGGGTGGGGGTGGTGTGTGGGGGTGGGGGGTGGGGTGGGGGTGGTGTGTGGGGGGTGGGTTGGTTTTAGTTTAGAGAAAAGAGACAGCACTATCAGCCTAGCGCCCGTTGTACCCTTCCTCAACGGGCCATTTATCTAGTATAATAATATGAAGCTAAACATAAGTGTACATATTCGTTGTACAGACACCATCAACAATTTTAAATTTGTCCAAAGATAAAGATAAAGCTCATTAAAAGTAATGAGGAAGAGAAGTTGGGCAAGTGTGAGCACACTACAAACATCACCACCAGACCTGCTCTAAAGCAGAGCCCACCTCACATACTGAACCGGCCACAGCAACAGGTTTGGCTACACATGAAATCAGCTGGTATAGCACAGGACATGTGTTTAACGGCCTTGAGCAGGAGTGACGGGCAGTGAGCGGCCTTGCCACACCAGACGACAGGGGTTGCCCAAACTAGAGGCTGTTTCTTGACCTCAACCAATGCAGTGGTTTCATCAAGATTTAAAAAAAACAACAAATATGCCCCCCTCCCCTCCGTTAATAAAATTTTAGAGTGACGTTTCATTAAATCCATTTTGTTCGTTGTATTATATTTATTTTTGCTACAACTTATTTATAATACAAAGTTTGTTTTACTTAATTGGTGATATGTGACTACACTGAGTAAAATAATTTAATGTTTATTGATAGCTCGTTAAAAGATTGCTCATAATCCGTATAATACAAAGACAACTGATGAAGTACTCCCAAATAATTAAATGCTTGAAAAAGTTAGGAACTAGAGTGGCAATATTTTCGATTCAATTGAGTCTAATAAAATAATAAATACGAGTAATTATTACATTACAATTAGCACGACTATAAGATTTAAAACGACCATGCTGTTTGTTATCTTTTCGTACTACCGTGCAATCTTAAGAAGATTTTAAATAACGGCTGAAACACATCAATATCACACGTCTTAATGTTTTTGGAGTCATTATTTTTTCGAAAAGTAGCAATTTATTAACTACCATTTATCCCATTTGGACAATAGTTGATAACGTCAATCGAACTTTCATAACATAATTACAAACGCACTATTTAATACAATGTCATACACTCTTTGTACCTCATTATTCTATTTTTATTTTATTATTTCATTTCATATAGCATAGACTTTCTCAAACAAAAAATGGCAAGGTAAATTATGCTTATTTACATGTTTGGGCACGTAGCTATACACGTTGATCTGGAACATTCGCAACATGCCCCCCCCCTCCAATATACGGTTGTTAAAATCCCTCCAATGTTTTGACGATATGTGCAGCCAAGACTAATTTCACACCACGCTTCCCTGTTACATATTTAGGACGTTTAATTAGCTACACTTAACAAAAATCCCCACCCATCCATTGTCTAGATCCGGGGGAAATTTTAACAGCGTACTCAATTTTACTTCCTGGTGTTCGCAGACACGGATGTCTGGGTGAGTATAAATTGATGCCAGCTTGACAGACGGCATCCTCACACACATGCTACAAGCTACAAGCAATCTTTGGAGCAGACAAGCTGTGCTGAGACCTGATACAACTAGGCCGTGCATCGTAACCATGGCATTGAAGCTGTTGCTGTGTCTGCTGGTTGTAGTTGCTGTTCTTGCCTTAACAGCTCAGGCCGCCCCTAGAGACGTGAGCTACGGCACCAAGGGCAAGAACCTGGTCGACGACACGAAAGATGATAACGGTGACGTGTTTGGCGATGATAAGATCGACGGTGCCACTGAAATTGACGGCATCGCACTGAAAGATTTGACTAGAGATGAGCTTCACGATCTGATGGAAGATGTCGACAACAGGGTCATGGCGGAACTAGGTGAGGCATCTCTTAAACAGTGTCATCCTAATGTAGTGAGATAATGTATCGAGATAATGTAGTGAAATAATGTGGTGAGACAATGTGGTGAGATAATGTGATGAAATAATGTGGAGAGATAATGTAGTGAGATAATGCAGTGAGGTAATGTAGTGAGATAATGTGGTGAGATAATGTAGTGAGATAATGTAGTGAGATAATGTAGTGAGATAATGTAGTGAGATTAGGTAGTGAGGTAATGTAGTGAGATAATGTAGTGAGATAATGTAGTGAGATAATGTAGTGAGATAATGTAGTGAGATAATGTAGTGAGATAATGTAGTGAAATAATTTTTTGAGGTAATGTAGTAAGAAAATGTAGTGAGATAGTGTAGTGAGCTAATGTAGTATGATAATGTAGTGAGATAATATAGTGAGGTAATGTAGTGACGTAATGTAGTTTGAGAGATAATGTGGTGAGATAATGTAGTGAGGTAATGTAGTGAGGTAATGTAGTGAGATAATTTTGTGAGATATTTTTGTGAGATAATTTTTGAGATATTGTAGTGAGATAATGTAGTGAGGTCATGTAGTGAGATAATGTAGTGAGGTAATGTAGTGAGATAGTGGAGTGAGATAATGTAGTGAGATAATGTAGTGAGATAATGGCATGTTCTCTGTGAGGTCTAAATGACATTGGTTCTGTGAGCTCTAAATGACATGGTCTCTTCGAGGTCTAAATGACATGCTCTCTATGACATCTGAATGTCGTGTGTTCTGTCTGGTCTTAATGACATGTTCTCTATGAGATCTAAATGACATGTTCCCTATGGCAACTTAATGACATGTTCTCTATGACATCTAAATGACATGTTCCCTTTGGCAACTTAATGACATGTTCTCTATGACATCTAAATGACATGTTCTCTATGACATCTAAATAACATGTTCCCTATGACATCTAAATGACATGTTCCCTATGACATACAAATGTCATATGCTTCCCTGCCATGCAGACATCCTTGTAGGTAAGCTGGACATTCTCAAAAGGAAATCTCGTGTACGGGACACCAGACAGAAGCGCCAGTTGCCGAGGCTAGTCTTCGAGGCCGCACGTGCACTGTTCCGAGGGTCCACGGCTGGCAGGGTGACCTCAAGCGGTGCTCGTGTCACCAGACAGTACCAGAGGTGAGAGGTCAAGGTTACATTGGCTGGCTTTAATTATTGAGTTTTATCTATCTATCATTAACTAAATTAATTAACCATAAAAAAACAACTATTAAATAAACTTTAAATTTATACATGATCAAAGTATAAGTACATTTCTATTATTTGTTAAAATTGAGTAGGTTGATAATATTCAACCAATGTTTCGTTTGTAATTAGTCGGACGGCGATGTGTTAGAGAGTTATAGCTTGACCTAGGTTAAGCAATGGATTATTTTAATGAAAATAGCAATGTTACATAAGAACTCGTTGGTTGCTGTCGGCAGTCAAGTTACTGTTACAAATCTGGCGATCAATAAAATACAGTCAAGTTACTTTTACAAATCTGACGGTCAATAGACTACAGTAAAGTTACTGTTACAAATCTGGCGATCAAAAGACCAGACAAAGTTGAGATAGCGTGCTCAGTTTAACCCTAAGCCGCATGTACTCTCCCAATATGAGACAGGCTTACAAGAAAACAACAACGCCCTAATTGGACTGAGGAAGGTACTTTATGCTGGAGACTATAAGCCGAACTTGCGAGTGTCGGGTTAGCACTCACGTTATTCACCTTTACAGTGCGATGTCGTTTTCTATCCATCGCCTCTTTTGTGCTTTACTCTGTACATGGGCTAAACATAAACACTACATCTCCCCCCCCCCCCACCGCTCCCCGCAGGCCCGGCAACTACCAAGACGCCGTACGGGACTTCAACAGATTCAGCCCCATTAACGTCAAAACTTTCAACGGTAAGGTCAGTGGTCAGACAGGAACTATGGGGAACCACAGAATCACCGTCAGGAACGGCAGCAGCAACGGAAGTCCCACGCTGGAAATTAGGTCACCCAAGGGCAACGGAGAATTTGTCCGGAAGTTCCGCTACAATAACAAGTAATGCTGAGGGTTTTCCTGAATTCGGGACATTTTACCGCAGGTTTATTCTGTATACTGAAGTTGGAAAACAATGCATTGACTTCTACTAAAACAATCATAAATAATTTCATAAATTTGTAGTTTCTTCAATCTGATGAAGACCAAATATCGATGTGTTAATTTTTATATTTATTTTCAGTATTAAAAAGGATATCTTATAAATTTCAATGTTCTTCTTTCAATAAATATATTTTTAATTTCTCTTTGATAAATGGTTGTTTTTCTTTTGTTATTATGATTGAAAGAATATAAAAAAAATCTGATATGGAAAACATTTTCTGCAGTGACTTAGGACAGCTTGCCCTTATAAAACAAAACAAAGACGTGTGAGATTGTATTCCATTCTACAACATCAAGTTTATTTACACTTAACGCTAGAGCAAAAATGGGGTCGGCGTGGTCGAGTCGGTAAAGCTCATGGTTGCTAAACCGAAAAGTCTCGAGTTCGAACCCTCATGCAGATGAGGCTCGTTAGCTGGGGACAGCCACTCTTCTAGGAGAGACAACTCCAAAATCAAACAACTGCTGCCTTGTAGTTTGTTCTTGGTTGGACAAAGGCTATGGAAGCAAATCCAAAAAGAAAAGCAGGCTGAAATCGGAGTCAATGGCCTCAATGGCGCAAAACCAGTTGACACGTAATCCTTAATTGTGATGGAAGCACGGTCGAGTCGGCAAAGCTCATGGTTGCTAAACCGAAAAGTCTCGAGTTCAAACCCTCATGCAGATAAGGCTCGATCCCTCCCAACACTAAAAATTAAGAACGAAGAAGAAGAAGAAGCTAAAGCAATCATAGATAAAGCTACCTCACACGAGCAAAATAACACTCAGCAGATTACCAGCAATTTGGGGGAATTAAAACAGTTCACAAATGACCCATACGATCATATTTCAGGATTTATTGAATTAGAGCTATACAGCAGCTACAGCCAGTGGCGTAGCGAGGTCGGGTGTCACCCGGTGCGGTACTTAATGGTGTCACCCCCCACTCCACGCTTGTCGAAATTTGTCAAATTTGCTCTTAAAAGACTATTTAACACTCTAACTAATCACTTAATTAAGAGGAATTATCATTTGTTTGTATATATTTTGCTATTTTTTGCCTTGGTGTCACCCCCCCCCCCCCCAAAAGGTGTCACCAGTGCGCCCCCCCCCCCCGCCACCCTCCTCGCTACGCCTCTGGCTAGCTACATCCAACTGTTCAGAAGTACAACTCTGTGATAAAATACTAGACAAGCTAAAGCATGTCTGCCAATGTTTTTATTTTCAGTAGCAAGTATGTTTTTACTGAAAACCCATCCGGTCAGGTAGATTGATTTTTGTGTCAGTTGAACTGGTCAAACATTAACCTCTTGTCTTATTTCTTGACGTTTTCATGTTAAAGTTTGCTTGTATGCTTCATATTATATTGTGAATTATAGGTACATTGCGTTTTACGCTTACACAAAACGATTTCTAAATACACGTTAAAGCATTACCCATTTTAAGTAAGCTTGATTTATATATGGTTCGCGACGAAAAAGGCCCAGGACATATAGAACCATGCGCCATCCTCTTTTTTTAATATCTAATACTACTAAAACTCAACTTTGTTTACATGTTTGAATATTTATTTGTTTGTCTGATTTCGTACTGTAAGGAAACTGCTCAATATGGGGGGCTGTAAAATAGTATGTAGGTAGAGAACAATTTTTTATTGCAGACAGACTGTTAATCACACATTTATTTAAAGACGTTAATTAATTTATTGATTTATTCATAGGTAGATTAACCACATTTTTTTTAAAATTTAGAACAATGGCTTAATTTTGACTGAATAGTGACGTTTGATAACTCATTTTTTTGTTGGTTTGTTTTTTTTATTTGTTATTGGGGAGAATCTGCATTATATGTAGAGTTGTAAAAAAGGATTTTGGGTTGTAAATATTGTTCTTTCTTGAACACACTGTTAATTACTAACTAATTTAAAGCCGTTAATTAATCTTTTGATATATTCATAGGTAGATTAACTATATTTATTATAAAAGTTTAGAACATTGACTATAGTAATAGTTAAATGGTATACTTTTTACAATAATGTTCAAATATTTTTTCTTTAGGCCTGTATGTGAATGATAAGGTTGACTATCAGGACCTCGCGAGGCATAGGGCAGGTGAAGTAGAGTTCAACTGTTTCTATGTTCTCAGCATATGAATGGATAGTGTGGTCGGAGCCATGCTCGGCCGGAATCGTTTTTTTTTTAAATACAAATATGTCTGAGACTTGGCGGGGCACTGGGCAGGTGAAGTAGAGTTTAGTAGAGTTTTAAATTATAAAAAACGTCTTTTTGAATGTGGGGTCTGGTTATTTTGGGATGATAAGTGCTGGCAGACGTGATGTCATTTATGGATGACCCCCCGAAACCCACAGTTATCCAACTAGATAACGGGTAGTCTAGTATATCCTATAATTGTTTAATTGATGAAATGGCCTAAGCCAAATGGCCATTTGGCGACGGTTCATGCGACATAATGTTTTGAGAAGCCTCTCTCTAGGTGTCGTATTTGACCTACATTTTGTCAACATGAGTGACTGAAATGAACACGGATAGCGGGCACCACTAGTCATAAATTGTTTACTACAGTACCCCTGTCGTCAATGGGGCGCCACTAGTCATAAATTGTTTACTACAGTAACCCAGTCGTCAATGGGGCGCCACTAGTCATAAATTATTTACTACAGTAACCCAGTCGTCAATGGGGCGCCACTAGTCATAACTTGTTTACTATAGTACCCCAATCTTTAATGGGGCGCCACCAGTCATAACAACCCAATTTTTAATGGGGCGCCACCAGTCATAACTTGTTTACTTCAGTACCCCAATCTTCAATGGGGCGCCACTAGTCATAACTTGTTTACTTTAGTACCCCAATCTTCAATGGGGCGCCACCAATCATAACAGCCCAATCTTTAATGGGGCGCCAACAGCCATAACTTGTTTACTTTAGTACCCCAATCTTCAATGGGGCGCCACTAGTCATAACTTGTTTACTTTAGTACCCCAATCTTCAATGGGGCGCCACTAGTCATAACTTGTTTACTTTAGTACCCCAATCTTCAATGGGGCGCCACTAGTCATAACTTGTTTACTTTAGTACCCCTATCTTCAATGGGGCGCCACTAGTCATAACTTGTTTACTTTAGTACCCCCATCTTCAATGGGGCGCCACTAGTCATAACTTGTTTACTACAGTAACCCAATCTTCAATGGGGCGCCACTAGTCATAACTTGTTTACTTTAGTACCCCAATCTTCAATGGGGCGCCACTAGTCATAACTTGTTTACTTTAGTACCCCTATCTTCAATGGGGCGCGACTAGTCATAACTTGTTTACTTTAGTACCCCCATCTTCAATGGGGCGCCACTAGTCATAACTTGTTTACTACAGTAACCCAATCTTCAATGGGGCGCCACTAGTCATAACTTGTTTACTTTAGTACCCCAATCTTCAATGGGGCGCCACTAGTCATAACTTGTTTACTTTAGTACCCCTATCTTCAATGGGGCGCCACTAGTCATAACTTGTTTACTTTAGTACCCCCATCTTCAATGGGGCGCCACTAGTCATAACTTGTTTACTTTAGTACCCCAATCTTCAATGGGGCGCCACTAGTCATAACTTGTTTACTTTAGTACCCCTATCTTCAATGGGGCGCCACTAGTCATAACTTGTTTACTTTAGTACCCCCATCTTCAATGGGGCGCCACTAGTCATAACTTGTTTACTACAGTAACCCAATCTTCAATGGGGCGCCACTAGTCATAACTTGTTTACTTTAGTACCCCAATCTTCAATGGGGCGCCACTAGTCATAACTTGTTTACTTTAGTACCCCTATCTTCAATGGGGCGCGACTAGTCATAACTTGTTTACTTTAGTACCCCCATCTTCAATGGGGCGCCACTAGTCATAACTTGTTTACTATAGTAACCCAATCTTCAATGGGGCGCCACTAGTCATAACTTGTTAACTACACTACCCCAGTCTTCAATGGGGCGCCACTAGTCATACATTGTTTACTTTAGTACCCCAATCTTCAATGGGGCGCCACTAGTCATAACTTGTTTACTTTAGTACCCCTATCTTCAATGGGGCGCGACTAGTCATAACTTGTTTACTTTAGTACCCCCATCTTCAATGGGGCGCCACTAGTCATAACTTGTTTACTATAGTAACCCAATCTTCAATGGGGCGCCACTAGTCATAACTTGTTTACTATAGTAACCCAATCTTCAATGGGGCGCGACTAGTCATAACTTGTTTACTTTAGTACCCCCATCTTCAATGGGGCGCCACTAGTCATAACTTGTTTACTATAGTAACCCAATCTTCAATGGGGCGCCACTAGTCATAACTTGTTAACTACAGTACTCCAGTCTTCAATGGGGCGCCACTAGTCATAACTTGTTAACTTGTTTACTACACTACCCCAATCTTTCACGCGGTTCCTGTTTTAGCGTGTTTACCGTACATCCACAGTTTGTTGTCTGACACGGAAACAAACGGAAAAAAGCGAGGTTTTACGGTTTGTGTCTATGAAACTAGTTTACATCCTGGAAAAGTGTGGAAAGTTTCGACCTACGTTCCCTACGCAATTACCGAAATAACCCACACTGCTGTTTTGAATGAAACATGCATGCCATGACGCCTTGACCCTGGTCTAACCAATGGTTCTCAAATTCCAGACTCTACGTCCCCAAACCATTTACCACAAAAATATGTTTTAGTCGACCGAAATAATATGTTATGAGTAAAATATGTCTTTAAAGGACAATTAGTTAATGTTTTAAATTACTCAGTAATCTTAGGTGTAGAGCAACGTATAGATTATTAGAGTCCATTCATGTGTAGGTTGTTAGAATATAAGTCAATTTGAAGAGTGTTAGCACTTACACTAAATGTGAAGACTACTAGACTTACACTAAACAGTGTTTATTTCAGATGTTTTCCTCTTGGAGGGGGGGGGGGGCACTTAAAATTTTCAGTGGGGGGGGGGGGGGGCTACATTTTCCAACCGAAGGAGGGGGGGGGACACAGATAACATTATATTCTTTTACCTGTGAAGATAGCAAGGAGGAAATGTACTCATCAGTGTGAATAATGAGCAGTGTGAATAATGAGCAGTGTGAATAATGAGCCGTGTGAATAATGAGCCGTGTGAATAATGAGCCGTGTGAATAATGAGTAGTGTGAATAATGTGCACTGTGAATGATGTGCACTGAATAATGAGCCGTGTGAATAATGAGCTGTTTGTGAATAATGAGCCGTGTGAATAATGAGCAGTGTGAATAATGAGTAGTGTGAATAATGTGCACTGTGAATGATGTGCACTGAATAATGAGCTGTGTGAATAATGAGCCGTGTGAATAATGAGCTGTGTGTGAATAATGAGCCGTGTGAATAATGAGCAGTGTGAATAATGTGCACTGTGAATGATGTGCACTGAATAATGAGCTGTGTGGGAATAATGAGCCGTGTGAATAATGAGCTGTGTGTGAATAATGAGCAGTGTGAATAATGAGCCGTGTGAATAATGAGCCGTGTGAATAATGAGCTGTGTGAATAATGAGCAGTGTGAATAATGAGCCGTGTGAATAATGAGCCGTGTGAATAATGAGCCGTGTGAATAATGAGCTGTGTGAATAATGAGCAGTGTGAATAATGAGCTGTGTGAATAATGAGCAGTGTGAATAATGAGCAGTATGAATAATGAGCAGTGTGAATAATGTGCACTGTGAACGATGTGCACTGAATAATGAGCAGTGTGAATAATGAAGGATTTCAATCAGAATAACTAAACGATGTGGGTAGGGCGAGGATCAGGTAAATGAGTGCTCTCTCTCTCTCGAAAAATGTAAACATAATGATTATTTAGGTCGTTAAAGCAAAGTTTGGTAGATTCAAATAGCCACGTCACCAGGTTAGACACAGGTAAATGTGGCAGTGATCCACTTCTCTGGAAAACAGGTCAGGTGTTCAGTGACTCATATCGTGTTGACCCCCGTGTTTTTCTGTCAGTTGGGCTGAGGCTAAGGGGCCTTAACTACGCAACTATTTCACAGGTACAAGCTACACAACAAAAGCAGAATCTAATCAAATTAAATTTGTCACGGTAACTTGAACGCCCTTCTACCAACCATTTAAAATCAGGCCGCGCTACATGCAAGATACAGGCTGTAATGGTTTCTTGTTAAATAAAAGAAAATCACAATGTTTACACATACACCGTGCTCAGACATGTCTTTGTGTTAAACGTCCAGTGGTTCAACTGTAACTTATATATGAACATGGTTTCAATGAACGAGTAACATTGATTACGAATTTGACAGCAGCAAAGCTAGTATTGAAACAAAACATAAAAAAATCATGATCTGTGACGGTATTAAATATCCACTATGAGGACTGTTGCAGAAAAACATGTGATCAGAATACAAACTTCGATAAAAAGAACATTCTGCAAAAGTTGTAATATAGTCCTTGTGTCAGGTCATACATGCAGAATAAGATTAAGAAGTAAAAAAGAAACACATAAAGTTGTGACATGTTTACTCTGTGGGACCATAAAACGTTTTATGTGGAGAAAAGGTTACAACTTCTGGCTGGATAGACCTGAAGCTTGGCTGAACAAGGAAAGGAAAAAGTCTTGAATTTTTTTTTTCTTTCTTTAAAAGTAAATAATAAAATTTTCAGCACTTGTCAGAATGTAACTTAAAAAAAAATGAATTTGACTGTACAAGTTTGCTCTTTAAGTAAGAGCGCAATTAACAATGAGTCCTCTAATCTTGTAGTGATTCGTAGTGTAAGCCTGAACTGATAGAGACATTTAAATCCGGCGAAGTACAAAGAGGAATATACTGCAAACATTTTAATGACTCATATTTGCGTGATTTTTCCTATTATCCATAATTGAACGCAGTAAAGTTTTGAAATGATTTCGGAAATGATTTTTGAATGGTTTAGCAATTAGAAATATGACAAGGGTGAAAATAATCCGGGTTTCACAAAAAACAAATAGGATATTTTTTGTTTGGAACTTGCTCACGATATACGTTTGTTCTAAAATTAGTTTAAGATTCCGGAATAAATTTCTTAGATAGTAAATCACGGAGATGTCATGAGGCCGCAGAATGTTTGACATGACGATTTACATTTTGGTCAGTCGGAAATATCCGGGGAAAGTCGCTGTCGCTGTGGAAAACATCCGGGTCTCAGCCTGCAGGATTTCCAGATCCGGACCTTCGTCATGTATAAAGCTCTCCGTCATCCGATGTGGGACAAGTTGGCTGTGCCGGCATCTCAAAGCTACGCATCGCAAGAAATCTTGGGACCTGACAAGAGACAGACGACACTCCGGTTCTTGCACGATAACGTTCTACATCTACTAGCTACAAGAAATCTTCGGACCACACAAGCTGTGCTGAGACTTGATAAAACTACCAGCTACAGTAAAACTTGATCATGGCATCGAAGCTGTTGCTGTGTCTGCTGGTTGGAGTTGCTGTTCTTGCCTTCGCAACTCAAGCCGCCTCTGCTGACGTCAGCAACGGGACCACAAGTCAACCAGACGACAACCAGGTCTACGACTCGGATGATGATGGTGATGCTGTTTTTGGCGATGATAAGATCGACGATGCGACTGAATTTGATGGCATCGCTCTTTGCAATCTGACCGTCGATGAAATTCGTGACTTGCTAGAAGATGACGACAATAGAGTCAAATATGATATCGGTGAGTCGATTTTAGACATACTTTGTAAAATCTTATAAAATTGGTGAGAGGCGATTTTAGACATAGTTTGTAAAATCTTATAATATTTAATGCTTATTTTACTAAACAAAAACTACAGAGATTCGATTTTATTTCTACCAAAAAAAAAATTAACTGAAAGTTGATTATAAATCTACTTATTAAAACATACTGATGTTCTATTATCATCCAACCTAGTAAAGGCCTCTAAATATAGCTTTCCATTAGTTTGTGTAACTAATGTCTATCACAATACCTGTTGCTTTAAGTCCCGCTTTACACTCACCATTGCAGACATCTGGGTGGCCAAGAAAGAAATCTCCGAGAGAAAGCAACAGACCAGGAGGAAGCGCTGGATTGGAATCGCTGCCCGCCTCTTCCAGGCCGGCAGGTCGTTGTTCAAAGGTTCCACGGCCGGCAGGGTGTCTACAAGTGGATCTCGTGTCACTAGGCAGTACCAGAGGTGGGTTAAGCAGACAGGGACGGGGGGGGGATGGGGGTTATATAACAGGTGCGTCAACACAGGTAGATGGTTGTGGTGGGGGTGGGTGGCTATTAGAGGTGGGTTATCAAACTCATCTCCCTATCGACTACCAAAATGAAATCTGTCTCTCGTTAAACTACAACTAATGGTGATGGTAATGGCACGCTAGCACCACATGGAATTCGTTTAGTTTCAATATTATCATTGCCATATGTTAGTGAAATTACGTTCTCAAATCAAATAAATTAAAATATTAAATGTTTTTTAAAGAATATACTCTACAGTAAAAGGTTTAATCTATTTATTTACACAAAAATGTTTATATTATTATATTAAAAAAGTAAAACTAAAAATACAATAAAATCAAGATACCCTTTCCATACAAACTAAAACAAGTTGTATCTTTCAGATCTGGCAACTACAACGATGCCTTGCGTGACTTCAACAAGTTCCGTCCAGATAACGTCAAGTCTTTTGGCGGGAAAATCAGTGGCAAAACTGGAACTGTCGGAAACCACCGAATCACAGTGAGGAACGGAAGTAGCAACGGTCGTCCTACATTGGAGATCAGGTCGCCCAAAGGCAAAGGAGAATTTGTCCGCAAATTTAGATACAACTAAAACATGTGCCAAGAATTGCCAGTTGAAAGAATTTGTCCGCAAATTTAGATACAACTAAAACATGTGCCAACAATTGCCAGTTGAAATCCAAATTATGCATTCCATTTTCAAAGTTGTTGTATAATTTTTTTTATATTTTGTGACATTATTTAAATAAATAAACTGATCTAAAATTCAACTTGTTGAGTATTTTAATAAAAATTTGATCGCACACTACCATACGCCAAATGCGCTAATCTTATACTTAAGGAGGTATTTCTGTTTATATAGAATATAGAGTAAGCAGTGTCTTCTATCTGGAAACTAGTATCATGGCAATAAGCTAAAATCGATTGTTAAAATACAAAGATGGAAAAGGGGACTTAACCAAAGTAAAGTAGAAAAACAATGTGTAGAATTATATTACCTCCCTTGGGTTAACTGTAATCTAACAAGCTAGTGTAAAAAATATGATGATGGTGTTACAGACAAAATATTGATTTAAAAAGTAAAAATCCGCCGTCAAACATGAAATATCTGTGTCGTCTATGGCGTACAATGTGGGGATGGTGTTGTCTAGCGGGAATTTACTAACGCACCGTCCGTGCGAAGTTTTGGAGCCAACCCAGCACAGATTGGGTACCTGGCCCTAGACGGAGGAAAATAAACCGGCTGATAATAGTGCTAAGGGGTAATCCATTTATGACGTCCACAATTTTTTTGGGATTTCGGACCCCCCCCCCCCCCCTCGTCCACAAAAATCCACTTTTTTCCTTATACAAGTCCATATGCGTCCACAAAAGTTAGTTTTTTTCGGATCCCCCCCCCCCCCCCCCCCGCGTGTGGAGGTCATAAATGGATGACCCCTAACCACACTATGACAAAGCTAGTGACAGTGCTGACCACACACTGAGGGGATAGTGACAGGGCTGACCACAGTCTTACAGGGCTGAAATTATTACTCTCCACAGTAAAGACACCTCCCACTGGTTAGTACAAGCTCCTGGATATTGGTACAAACAGGCCACTGTGCTTAGAGACCCGGTGGATAAAGACACCACAGAATATATTTCTTAACAGAAAGGTTTAATAAACAGAGGAAAAATACATTTGTTAGAAAGGTGTGATACTTTCGTTATTTAAAAAAAAAATTGAAAACAAAAAGCCATTACAATTTTAAAATTTTATTAATAGAGTAAATAAAAAAAAAAATTTAAAATAATAACAAAAATAAATCAAAATTCAATTTCACAGTCATGGAACATCAATGCATTATGTAGAACAAATTCGCGAACAAAATTAAATATGTCTAAATACCCGTTTCCCTTTGAAATCCCAATTAGCAAAATTTCAAATGCTATTTGACGTGTTATTAGATTTTAAAAAAAAATGATTTCATGATAAATGAAAACGTTTGCTGCCTTAGGGGATCCCCCCCCCCCCCCAGAGGCGTAGCGACCCTTCCCGGCGCCCGGGGACAAACTTTCGATTTGCACCCCCTCCTCGAACTTTTCATTTGCCCCCCCCCCCTCCCTCAAACTTTCGATTTGAACCCCCCATCGAACTTTTCATTTGCACCCCCCTCAAACTTTCAATTTTGCGGCGCCCGGGGACATATGTCCTCCCCCTGCCCCCCCCCCCCCTCTCGCTACGCCTCTGGTGGAAAGGTGGGGAAAGTGAGGAAAGCGAGGCGAAAAAATACCAGCCTAGAGAGAAGCAGTGACCAAAATTAAGGATGTAGGCTCCAGAAAAAAAACAACCTCTTAATTAAAACATTTTATTGATTTCTTTGTGTATATCTAAGTTAGGGTACTTAATACGGGAAAATAGTTCCATGCATCAGGGACTTTTTTGAAAATATGGTTGCAACAACTGCAATCTTGAAAAAATCATCCTTTTCTGGAGTTATAAAATTCATAAACTAACATATATATCGGATATATAACCATTGATTCTCCTTATACTAACACTAAGAGAGTCAGCTGGCTAGTGTTTGTAACAGAACTCAATCCAGAATGTGTTTTTTTTTATTTTCAAAATTAGGCGTGGCGGCGAAATTCCTTTGAAATTAATGCTAAATTCAATGGAATTTCACCATACATTTTTTCAAAAATTTGAAAAAAAATATCTGCAGCTGTTTTTCGGTTACAAAAACTAGTCAGCTGACTCTATTGGTGTTAGTACAAGAAGTCAATGCATCAAACAGCATACCTATAGCATTGACAGAAGAAGCCCTAGAAAAAGTGGATAGATTTACCTACCTTGGAAATATTGTTGATAAGCAAGGTGGGACAGAAGCAGACATAAAAATAAGGGCAGTAAAGACAAGAGCAGTCTTCAATCAACTACAAATGTTTGGGGTTCTGGAGATTCAACCCTTGGGATAAAAATCCGGATCTTCAACACACTAGTAAAACCGTTTTTACTCTATGGAGCTAAGACATGGATAATAACTGCTATAAATAAGAAGAAAATGTAATCATTTATAAACGCATGCCTCAGAAAGATCCTGCGAATGGACACATCAACTGCCAGTTGAAGTAGAGATCCCATTGAGAAAATGGAAATGGATTGGCCACACACTCAGGAAGCCTGTATACAGCATAACAAGACAGGCCTGGAATCCACAAGGCAGTAGGAGGAGAGGCAGACCAAGAAAGACCTGGAGACGTGACCTGGAAGAAGACACCAAGAAGATCGGATACACCTGGGGACAGTTGGAGAGACTAGCCATGGACAGAGATGCCTGGAAAGCTCTTGACAGCTGACTATGTCCCAGGAGGGACGACAGGCAAACCTAACATAACCTAACAAGAAGTTTCATATGTTACTTTAGAAAATTTTAGAACTCCACAAAAGGTAGTTTTTTCCAAGATGGCCGCCGTTTCCATGGCAACCATATTTTCAGAAGAGTCCCTGGTACATGCAAATATTTTCCCTTAAGTACCCTTACTTATACATACACAATTAATTAAAAAGGCTTATTCATTAAAAAGTCTTTTTCCCCGGTTTTTTTTCTGGAGCCTACCCCCGAGGCGAAACAGACCAGCCTAAAGAAAATCAGTGACAAAAATTAAACGAAAGTAACAAAACATTTTAAAGTAACATTAAAGTTCAGGTGTGGTAGGTACAGTTTTAAATTCCGTTAAGTTTCAAACATAAAGTGAAGCGCTAAAATTTAACGAGTAAGTGATTTTAAGTGACCTGAAGAGCTCTGCATTGACAGAGAGAAAGAGAACCAAGTGAAGCTCCTCCGACCCAAACTAGGCTTACACCTCCACCACCATTTTATGTAAGAAAAAGTATTGGTCAGTTAAAGTGTGCTTTACTTTGTGCAGGATGGAATTGGATGCTCCCTAAACTGCTAAAATTTGTGTCTGTTTTCAGGAAATATGAATGTTATGGACTTGTTAGATGGCTCTGTCTCTAAACATTTTTACATCAAGTGCGGTGTAGAGTAGAGATGTGTGCAAGCGCCTACACATTTTGGCATTTTCTTTTCCATTATTTTGAGAATAGCTTTAGAGTAACTGTAAGACGAAGCCCGTTTTCGTTGTTATGAAATATAAAATAATCGGAAAGCTTGACCTAATTCGTTAATTTGTTTTTGCTGATGACGCTGCCCTCAATTCAGAAATTATTTCACAGGACTTTTCTTATTTTCCTAAAATTAGCAGGGTACATATCATCCTCACTGCGACAAGAAAAATTGTATGTGCCCATGTATTATGCATTCATTTACCTAAAATATCACTGCTTGTGTGTGTTTTGTTCACTTGACTTTTTTTTAAGTGCTTACAGTAATTTTGGTAAACACTTGTGAAGGAGTGGATTTTAACAGCAAACGACGAAAACGTAAATCTTAAATGTTAAATAGTCATCTTATATCCATTCGGTTTAACTTATGAATTACATATAATTGTAACTTTAATGGGCACCATGTGTGGGGAGTTGACTTGAGCGGCAGATAAATAAAACTTCTGTTAGCTGATCATCGATCGTTTATTTAATATTGTTATACACCCCTCTACCCTTATTATCAAGGGTTGTATTTTTAAAATTAAATTAAATTAAAAAAAAACTTAAATGAATATAAGATGCATTATATTATTGTATTGTCATCGGAGATAAATGTATCTAGTATCACTGCTCTGGAAATGGATTAAAACTTTGCTACTAGATTTGCCACTACCCACACATACACAAAAACCAACTAAACAAACATACATTGTGAATTTAATAAAATCTTAAAAAAGAAAAACCCATTTCAGAGCTCAGTGTTTATTACAACATTTTAAATTCGCGGATATTCTCCAGTTTGGTTACTTTTCAGCAATTCGCCACCCCCGATTGCGTCAGCAGCACGACCAAAACGCAAATAGCAAGCTACTTTCTGTGACCTAAGATAAAAATATATTTATAAATTTTATTGTATAAAATTGAAAACAAATACATGTCTCTTTTATCCCCTTACGACCTGTAATAAGGCCAGGAGATCAAAACTTAATTAGAAATCAGGGGTGGAGCTCCTTAGACGATAAGATTATTAACTTTGACGTCGTTTCGGCATAATGTGCAACTGAGTTTTTTTCCAAATTTATTCACTATGTTTCATTCATTATACACTGATATAACCAATAGACGGATCATGACTCATGTAACCAACGATCTCTTCATTTGACGCAAATTACGTGCGTATGAGAGTAAACAAGTGTTGCTTCAAAGCAGCAAAAATAATACAAAGCTGAATAGTAACAACCATATGTTGTCGTACAATTCCTACTATGTGAGCTTTTTGCTGTACGACCGCGAGTGCCGATTATCAGGAGCGCAGGCTGAAAATGTTTCCTGTGTGCTAAGACGCAACTTGAATGTCTCATGAGATCATATCTCAAACCAAGGCGTCATGGATCAAGTCCACTGTGTGCTGGAAATGTTAACACTAAGCATACTAAGGCTATGTATTGTCCAAAAGGACGTCCAGAACGGTAATCGTATCAATAGTACCAGAGACGCTAGACGACCACAACTACAATCGTCTGCAATAAGTAGGGTAGATCAGCCAAGACAGTGCCTGCGCCAATAAAATAAAATGAGATTCTCCGGGCGCTTCCGTTGTCTTTTGGGGCCAACGGAGCTTTGTACAACAGAATTCAACATTTTACAAGTTTTTTATTTAACTACCTTCCCCTGTCGTGCAAATTTGGTCTGTCTTTCTGTCTTCATAAGGCGATTCTTTTCAAACTTGGCATATGATGACAATTTAATCTGACACCAAATTTGATTTTATTGGATAATAGTTGGATCTCTCTAATTTATTTAGTACATTTTAATAAATCTATTAAAAATAATTAGGCGTCCAAATAAGATTTTTTTTATGTCAGATTACGTAATCAATCATGACAGCCACGTATTCAGCTGTAGGTGTTATGTAAAATAAATTATGAACAATATATTAAGTGTAGCTGACACGAAATATTGTGTAAATTTTTATAAGCGTAGTATGAATTTTCAACTCTTTTTACTGGTGTATGAGCTTTTTTTTTACACCCTCGTTCACATTAACCAGGATTTGTTAACTTACATAATTAGCACTACAACAATCACTTTCAAGAGCAGGTAAAGCAAGATGTTCATCCTTCTTGTCTTTGTGTTGTTTCTACTTTCGAAATATACACATACATTAAACATTCAACGTAAGTAGTAGTATATTAGGTCCCTTTTGGAGCGATTTTTTGGCGCAGGTGGGGATGGGGAGGAGCAATGACATATAGTAAAATACTCGGGAGCAGGATGCGCGGGATGCGCAATGACATATAGCAAAATACTCCCAGCCTGGCGCATCGGGATGGGGAGGGTGGGTGAGCAGGATGCGCAGGATGCGCAAAGACATATAGTAAAATACTACGCCAACTGGGGTTGGCGGAGGTGGTGGGGAAGTAGGTCACCTTTTGGTGACCTTGTGACGTAATCATTGACCTTGTGACGTAATCAGTCACATTGTGACGTCATCACTGACCTAGTTACGTAATTTTAATGCGTTTTTTAATTAGATTTAATGAGTTTTTAAAGTTTTAATTAGTTTTTTAATTAGTTACGTAATTTAATTACTTTGTTTGTGTTTTGTTTATTTATTTTTTAATTAGTTTAATTATTATTAACGAGTTACGTAATTGGAGTTTAATTTTTTAAATTTTTACATTTTTTAAATTATTATTATTTTTTTTTTTTTTTTTTTTTTTTTTAATTTTAATTTTTATATTTGTTTATTTGTTTACTTGTTGTTTAATTTAATTACTTTGTTTATATTGTGTAATTTTTATTAACGAGTTACGTAATTTGATTATTTGTTTACTTTTTAATTAATTTTTTATTGAGTAGTTACGTAATTGGATTTTAATTTTTTGAATTTTTAAATTTTTAATTTTATTTTATAATTAGTTAAATTATTATTAACTAGTTACGTAATTTGATTTTAATTATTTTGTTTATTTGTTTATTTAATATATTTCTTTTCTTTGTTGTTTAATTTGTTGGTTTGTTTATTTGCTTGTATGTATGTTTTTAAATTCTCCCCTACAACGAGCGTGTACTAGAACAGTCTTTGTATACCAGCCTTTAACCAGACATGTAACACCTGTTACGTATCGACCGCCCGTGAACCTCCCCGCGCTCCCCATTTTTTAATGGGAATGTATTGATCGCACCCACGGGCCATCACACCTAATTAATTTGGTCACGCCTCGTGGGTTTATGTGTTGTTCGCCGAAACGAACACAGCAGGGGGTATGATAATTAATTGAAAGAGCTAAGTGTCTCTCCGCGAACCCAGCGTTAAGTGTGGGAACATCTGTTACCACGTTAATCGGTTTTTTCCCCCCCGGTTGGATCCCGTGCTTTTCACTAACAGTTATACGGACAGTATCATAGGTTTTTGGTTTTCACCGAGGCAATGTTTTGTTGTTGGTTGGTGTAGAGTTTATACGAGGGTCGGTGAAGTTTTCACCGAGGTTGGTTTTGAACTCGAACCATACATGTTTAAGAATTACTAGGTGTAGAGTTTATACGAGGGTCGGTGAAGTTTTCACCGAGGTTGGTTTTGAACTCGAACCATACATGTTTAAGAATTACTAGGTGTAGAGTTTATACGAGGGTCGGTGAAGTTTTCACCGAGGTTGGTTTTGAACTCGAACCATACATGTTTAAGAATTGCTAGGTGTAGAGTTTCTACTAGGGTGGTATGGTTTTGGTTTCACCATGGCTTGGTTCAAAGTTGTTACATGCATGCTTTGGAGTTGGTAGGTTTCAAACTAAGGTCGGTGAAGTTTTCACCGAGGCAGGTTACAAAGTTGATACAGGCATGTTTTAGGAATTGGGGTGGGCCGTGTTCATACTAGGCTCGATGAAGTTTTCACCGAGTGATGTTGGTACACGATGTTTTGGAAGGGGTTGGTGTAGAGTCTATACTAGGGTCGGTGAAGTTTTCACCGAGGCAGGGTTCGAAGCTATACCATGTATGTTTAGGAATTGTTAGGGGTAGAGTTTACACTAGAGTCGAGGGAGTTTTGTTAACACCGAGGCATGTTGGTACATACATGTTCTTGGAATTGTTGTGGGTAGAATGTATACTAGGGTCGGTGAAGTTTTCACCTAGGTAGGTTTCAAAGTTGTTACATGTATGTTTAGGAATTGTTGACAGTCGAGTTCATACTAAGGTCGGTGAAGTTTTCACCGACGCATGTTTCAAACTCTGTCCATTCATGTCTTGGAGTTGTTGCGGATAGAATTTATACTAGGGTCGGTGAAGTTTTCCCGATGTAATATTGTTTTTGTCTTTACCAGTTCGTTTTGTGATGGTGTGTGTGTGTGTGTGTGTGTGTGTGTGTGTATGTGAGAGCTTTTTGGTTTGAGTGAAAAAGTTTGGTTTGCGGTGTATAACTTACACCGATGTTTTGACTGCGTAGGATTTCAAAGTTGGATGGGAAAGTTGTCACACCTTTTAATCAGCTATTACAATTAATCACAAAAGAGCATTTAAATGTATATAAAAATTTTATTTACTTAAAACAACTCCTGATTGTGTGTGTGTGTGTGTGTGTGTGTGTGTGTGTGTATGTGCAGCCCGTACAAAAGGACAGTCTGGATAATAGCGTCGATGTTCTTCTTCTACCACATCACCCGTTTCCCAACCCCTCAACGTATTCAAACAGAAAATACACTTGACAAGGTCACCAGGTCCAATGAAGATAAAACCATTTTTAGCCAAACTGATAAGGTCGACCGGGTAGACGTCGGACCAACACCCCGAAAATGTTTGCAACCTTTCCTCCTCATCATGGAACCTGATGTCACTGTCCCTGTCAGAAGCTGGGTTGGGTGGTGGTGGTGTCTCATCAAGGGGCTCAATAAAGGTTCCACCTATAGGTCGCTGTACAAACACTCTCTCATAACCTAGATTCATCTCCCCTTGATTAGTCTCATGAAAGGTACTGATCATCTGTACAGGATACAATCTCACTTCCTCGGGTCCAATATCAAGACCCGTTTCCGTTTGATCCGACATTCCCGTGCTCTCACGGGAATCCCATCCACAGCACTGAAGACAAAAACATTCACCGGACATGGTATAGGGTTCTTATACGGCGGTGTTTATAGTATTCCCTGAATACCACACCTGGGTGGGCTATCGATCAATACCGTAAAGAGCTGTTTCCAACTCGGATCCAGTATTTTAAATGGTTGATTTTGATTTCAGTCATGCCTCTTATACAGGATACCGAGTTACATAACTTTCAGGGACAAGTAACAAAACAATAACTCACATCAAAAATTTAAAAAAGATCGTTTATATCATAAGTTTTTATTGAATAAAAACAACCCCATCAGCATACCGTCATGGTTCTGTCTTATTTACATATTTACATTAGTCTCGTTAAAGTCACGGTTGGTAAACTAAAGGGTCTTATATGTCTAGGGGAGATGTTGTGACATTGTCTGCGTCTACTTGTCTTTTAATGTAAAAGTAAGAAAGTGAGTTTCTGTGTTGGGTGTAAGTGTATATCCCCGTGTTGTATGCTCTGAACCCTGTGTTTGTCCCACCACTTGGTTCCTTTGTTGTGAGGACCTGCATGAAAGATTCTTTGCCTAGTGTGTTGTGATTTTTAGATAATCCTTTGGTTGATGTTTTATTATACTCGCCAAAACAGTGGTACGTCTTACTACATAAAGATACCATCCCATCCCCTTCATATTCTAGCTTAAACAACCCCGGTGTTCTTTTTTCATAAATTTTCCTAGCCCTACACCCCAGACAATGACTATCTACCGTGCCTTTGCCGCTTATAAATTGTGGTCTATGTGAGTCGCATACTTCTGAGGGGAACCATTTGTCGTAAATGTCAAAAAACTCGTGTTCTAGTCCCGGTCTAACGGCTTTTAACAAGTCATCGGTACTTAAGGCTAAGTATAAACTGTCCGTGTCCATCTCACATAGCTGAAAGTCGGTTCTATCTATATATTTGTCTATAAAGTCATAATAAAATTCTAACATTCTAAGTTTCGCGTACTGATAAACGAAAAAGCCTATCTGAAGAGGGAGATCCCAAACTATCTTCTTTTTTAACGTTTCTACTTCGTAAACAGCGTCGGTAAGTTTTGTCATTTTTTTAAATCGTGGATTATTAATACAATCCCCTATATCCCTATCACTACAGTAGGTCATGTCCGCATGTCGTGTTTTATCCGTCAAAGTTTTACCGTATGCCGCGTTTCCTAACAATTTCATTGTTTCACTAGTTATTGCGTATTTGTCGTCTATGTCCCCCTTTCTTCGCGCGTCTGAAACTGTATCCCCAAATGTCTTAAAACATGCAACCGGATTATATTCAACGACTTGATAAATTTTAGTTACCACCAACCCATGATTTAAATACCACTTTAAAAGGGGGGTCGCTAATAAAATTTTCTCCCCTGTAAAGCTACCGATTAAAGTCCGTCTACCGCTAGTTAATAAGTTGTTATCGATCGCGTATTGTCTCATAAACGGTCCGATGTCGTCGCGCGTAACGTTCGTATTTTTAAAAATAGGTGTCATCTCACTAAAATGTTCTCTTAAACTATCCGGTACTTTAATGTCGCATTCTATCAGTCCAAAACACGAGTCGTCTAAAACAGAATCGATGATCTGTTTTTCAGTCAGGGGCCATTTCTTACCATAGGTCGGTGTCGGTGTTTTTTGTGATTTGTCAATAGATTTTAAATAGTCTTTAATAGTTGGGTTCATTTTTTTCTGGTTCCCCCACTCACATTCCCACATTTCTACGACTTTAACGTCAACAGTCTCGGTAAGGTACTTCGTAATTTCGTTTGTCTTTTTAAATAACTCTGTCAAGGGTCTGTTACTAATAGGATTTACTGTTCGGTCTTTGGTTAAGGGGCAGTCGGGGTGTCCATGAAAGAGGCAGCCATGGAACTGATAAACGGTTCGACTGTTCGCGTCCCACCCGTCTACTCTTATATGGCGTGATCCTAAGCTAACTTCACCCCCGTTAAATGCCGTTTTTAAAGTTACCCCCTTTGTTTTTGAAACCCACGATAACCACTGAAAGGCCTGTTCCCCATAATGATTCGTTTTACGCGGTCTAAACCCCTCCTCACTATTTCTAATAATCGGAAATCCCGTCGGCATTTTTTGCATTAAAGACCATAAATAAAGCGCGTTCGCGTCGTACCCCTTAATTGCCTGTACCACCTTATTACTATTCCCCCTAATGAACGTTTCACCCTTTTCGTGATGTCTATGAAAAATAATGGAGGGGCCCCCTACGATATTATTTCGGATTGTTTTATGTAACTCTGATTCGCGCTCGGAACACAAAGAAAAAGAAACGTTTTCGGGTAGTGTTTTGAATAAGTATTTTAAGGTTACACCCGGGACAGAAATCGCGTCTTTAAAAATATCAACCCCTAAATTTTTGTAAAAATTAGTTTGCTGCTCGAGCGCTTCGATAAACGGTTTTACATCGATATTGTTATACCAAATAAGATAATCTTTAAACGTTTGCATCCCCTTCTCTACCCAAATTTGGCTACACGTCGCGTACTCCTCGTCTGAAATGTTACAATTTTTTAATGATGAAAAAAAGGCCGAATGCGGAGGTAAAGACGTTTCATCTAAGACGGCTAAATTTTTGACATATTCGTACGGAAAAAATCCCTTGGTCTCTTTAACATTATATGCGGCGAGGTATTTACTATAACTAAACCCCGGTGCTAGATAATTAACTATATCTAAGAACTTTAATTTATTTGTTGATATACACATAAAATTATTATTTCTTTTAACTACATATTTAAACGGTGTTTGTTTATCTTCTACGTCGTCTTCATCATCGTTACAACTAGATCTAGGTCCCTCCTCTAACCCCTCTTCTGTGTTTGAATAAGCTAAAAAGTACTGAATAAAATACGGCTTAACGAGATTTATATCATATTTTCCTGAATTAAACCCTATAACTGGCATTTGTCGCAAATACTCGTCTAATCTACCGCTAAGAAACCTATCAAACCCTTTGTCGTTCGACTTATTATCACTACCCCTAGCTTTAGGTGGAAATAACTTCCTGATTTGCTTAAAAACAGGCTCGAACTGTTTTTTCAAAATTCCATAAGCTGCTTCAGCGATTATGTGGAGTCTGTCAATAACTCTAGTCACTAATTCTTGAGGGTCACCAGTCGAAATAAAACAGATGGGTTCGACGAACCCATCTACGTTTGAGGCTACAGAGCAAGACAAAGGCACGTGTTTGGCAACGCTTTTTGTAACTCTACCTAACGTGGGTAACTCGGTATGGTCGAAATAGCATTCGAAATCGTAAGTTGCTCTGAAGGGATAAACAAAGTTACTATCTACAACTAACCCATAGGACGCTAAAAACTCCCAGATTGTTTGCTGTGTCTGATAAAGCCCTCCCTTATACCTATCTACGGGTTTCCCCCCATTACACCCTTTCACGTGTCTGTTTAATTGTTTAACGGTGGGCCATAATTTGTTACACACAGAACACGCGAAAGCGTGACCCGCCCCACCTATATTATTAATGTACATAAACTGATTTTGAAAAAATAAAAGATACACAGTCTCCCTAAACCTATCACTACTTCTAATTTTCGGAGAAAGGATCTGGTTTTCGTTAAATTCAAAAATCTCAATATTTACACTAAAACAGGACTCTAAGAGGGGAATTTCGACCAACCTAACCCCACTAAAATTATCCAAGGTCCCGAGACCTTGGTGTGCTTGCCACTGTTTCGCGAGTTTTAATGTTGGCTTTCTAAGATCTCTTGTGGGTGCTCCTAAATGTGTGGCTAAACATCTAAAAAAGGAAAAATTGTCTGTGTAGGGTTTTGACTGTGAATCCTGATGTAACATGTTAATGGCGTGATTATGTTTAATAAAGTCAGGAATGTCTGTAAGAGGGCATATGGGTGAAGGTTTGTCTGTGGTCGTGTGTAAGTCTACTGCATCTCCCCTAAGGTCGTCTACAGGAAACATAGTGGTGTCTGAATAAATGGTACTGTCGTTGTTAGTCTTTACGCGTTTGTTGTTTGCTATATCGTCATACGTCGTATGTCGTTTTAAGGGGCTAGTGTTGGTCGCGGTACGAGCTGTTTGGCTCGCTGTTGGGAGTTGGATAGTATGTGTGTCGGTCACTAATGTGGGTTGGTGTGTTTGTCTGTTGGTTGCTGATGGGGTGTCGGTCGGTGATGTTTGGTTGTTGTGTGCTTTCTTAAAGTGTCTTGATAAATTCGAAAGTAGTGTAAATACTTTCCCGCATGTTGTGCAGGGATGTCTTTGTCGTCCGTGTGCAGAGTCGTGATGTCTTGTCAAATGGTCTTTGCGGCTGAACACACGCTCGCAGATCTCGCATGTGAAACGGGTCATGGCTGGGTGGGTGGTAGGTTGGGCGGCTTCCATTATTGACGATGTGTCTAGTGTGTGGATGCTTGGGTAGGTCGCTGGCTGTAGAATAAAAAGAATTACATAAAATAAAATACATGAAATAAAATACATACTTAAAACAAAATTAAAAAATGAAACGTACATATGGGTTTGAACGTCTAAGTTCGATCTAGGGTGGTGTAGTTGGTTGGAGCTGGAACGTTTGGTTCAGTGGATGCCTCGGGGCTGGGTAGGTAGTTCAATTGGTTCAGTGGATGGATCGATGAGTCGTTTGTACACTAAAAAGAAAATTCAATTGACTACTTATTTAGATACATATTTATTTAAAGGTTATTTTAATTGGTTAGTTTCCTTAAAACAATACGTACTATTAACCTTACCTCGGTGTATACTAAAAGGTAAATTACATGTGACTACTTATTTAATAAGATTTGATTTTAATGGGGTTAGCGCCCTTAACACAAAAGTAATATTAACCTTACCTCGGTGTATGATACAAAATTAAAGTAAATACCTGTGACTACTTATTTAATAAGTTTTGATTTTAATGGGGTTAGCTCTCTTAAAACAAAAGTAATATTAACCTTACCTTTAATAGAATAAACACGCACAAAAGAGGTGGTCCGTGTAGGGTTAGGTGGATGTGATGGTTGGTAAAGCTGGCGTGGGTTTAGTCTCAGGAGTCAACAGAGGTCGCAGGCTGGATAAGTCGCGGTGAAGCTTGGTGTGAAGTCCGAAGTTGAAGTGATTAGAACACAATTTTCGCGGTCATTTATACGATTGCTCAGCGTAATTACACCACCAGCTGTCGCACAACAGCTGTTGCATAATGACCTAAGTGCTTCGCGGAGCTGACAAATCGATCGACGTACTTCGCGGAGCTGACAATTCGTTCGGGGAAAAAATCAATGAAAGTGGTAACAGATGTTCCCACACTTAACGCGGAGAGGCACTTAATGTACGTCGTTAATTATCATACCCCCTGCTGTGTTCGTTTCGGCGAACAACACATAAACCCACGAGGCGTGACCAAATTAATTAGGTGTGATGGCCCGTGGGTGCGATCAATACATTCCCATTAAAAAATGGGGAGCGCGGGGAGGTTCACGGGCGGTCGATACGTAACAGGTGTTACATGTCTGGTTAAAGGCTGGTATACAAAGACTGTTCTAGTACACGCTCGTTGTAGGGGAGAATTTAAAAACATACATACAAGCAAATAAACAAACCAACAAATTAAACAACAAAGAAAAGAAATATATTAAATAAACAAATAAACAAAATAATTAAAATCAAATTACGTAACTAGTTAATAATAATTTAACTAATTATAAAATAAAATTAAAAATTTAAAAATTCAAAAAATTAAAATCCAATTACGTAACTACTCAATAAAAAATTAATTAAAAAGTAAACAAATAATCAAATTACGTAACTCGTTAATAAAAATTACACAATATAAACAAAGTAATTAAATTAAACAACAAGTAAACAAATAAACAAATATAAAAATTAAAATTAAAAAAAAAAAAAAAAAAAAAAAAAATAATAATTTAAAAAATGTAAAAATTTAAAAAATTAAACTCCAATTACGTAACTCGTTAATAATAATTAAACTAATTAAAAAATAAACAAACAAAACACAAACAAAGTAATTAAATTACGTAACTAATTAAAAAACTAATTAAAACTTTAAAAACTCATTAAATCTAATTAAAAAACGCATTAAAATTACGTAACTAGGTCAGTGATGACGTCACAATGTGACTGATTACGTCACAAGGTCAATGATTACGTCACAAGGTCACCAAAAGGTGACCTACTTCCCCACCACCTCCGCCAACCCCAGTTGGCGTAGTATTTTACTATATGTCTTTGCGCATCCTGCGCATCCTGCTCACCCACCCTCCCCATCCCGATGCGCCAGGCTGGGAGTATTTTGCTATATGTCATTGCGCATCCCGCGCATCCTGCTCCCGAGTATTTTACTATATGTCATTGCTCCTCCCCATCCCCACCTGCGCCAAAAAATCGCTCCAAAAGGGACCTAATATACTACTACTAACGTATTTTGCATTTTGCTGAACTAAGTAAAGTATATTTGTTATTTCAATAATCAACTAAACTCTGTATATTAAGTATTTAAGTTCTAACAGGACACAAATTGTAAAAAAGCAAATTAACAAATTAACATGCAAACGCTGATATGAATATATATATATATATATATATATATATATATATATATATATATATATATATATATATATATATATATAACCATGTAATAAAAAATATAAGAAATTACACTTACGTGTAATATTCCTAGATCTTCTGAAAACAAAGTGTTTTCTATAGTCTGAGAACATAACATACTTCTATTGGCTGAAAAACATCTACGTGCTTGCGAGTGTTCAAGACAGTGACGTAGCCAGCAATGGTCATGGGAGGGGTTCAAACATTTTTCCGTATGTATAGGATCCTATATATATAGGATCCTATAGATCAACTAAGCTAAGCTAAGCTAAGCTAAGCTAAGCTAAGCTAAGCTAAGCTAAGCTAAGCTAAGCTAAGCTAAGCTAAGCTAAGCTAAGCTAAGCTAAGCTAAGCTAAGCTAAGCTAAGCTAAGCTAAGCTAAGCTAAGCTAAGCTAAGCTAAGCTAAGCTAAGCTAAGCTAAGCTAAGCTAAGCTAAGCTAAGCTAAGCTAAGCTAAGCTAAGCTAAGCTAAGCTAAGCTAAGCTAAGCTAAGCTAAGCTAAGCTAAGCTAAGCAAATCGAAAGTTTGAGGAGATGGGGTGCAAATCCGGGAAGGTGACATCATTAACTGCCGCATCGGGTGACATCCCACCTCGATACGTCACTGCTTATACACATACAAGTATGCGTATGTGGCATATATTTAAATAATAGGCCTATGTAGACCGACACACACACACACACACACACACACACACACATATATATATATATATATATATATATATATATATATATATATATATATATATATATATATATATATATATATATATATATATTAACGGCCGGAACTTTATTAGCTTACTAAACGTAAACTGGTATTATATGTACTTCATAAGTTAAACAGAATGGACATAAAATGGTTATGTAAACATTTAAGATTTTAGTTTTCGTCATTCGTTTCTAAAACTCACTCTTTTACAAATGTTTATCAAAATTAATGTAAGCACTTAAAAAAAATCAAGTAAACAAAATCAACATAAGTTTACCGCAGGGGGTGGTGTGGTTGGGTTGTGGGTAAAAATAGGAGTAATTGCTCGAGAGTGGATGGGGGATGGCCTGGGTATAATTGACAGAGGGGGGAGAAAAGTCCTAGACCCGTTTCAGATGTTGCAGTTCCAGTTAGCATGCTAGCGTTTGAACTGTGAACAATGAAATCGAATCCCATAACTACAGCCAAATTCACCGCCGTTAACACATTTTGCTATTCCGTCATTATGCTGGATTGTCAGCCCATTTTTTTGCTATATATCTTTACAAATGTAAAGAAAATAACAACACCATTTTACATTAAAACATTTTCCATATGCAAGCAGTTGAAAATACGTTTCTCATTAATATTATCAAGTTGTAATGCTTTGTGTAGAAATAATAGGCGCTTATTGGAATGGCTTAAGAGCTTCAATGTACAAGATCTCTTGTAATATAATTTAGTAATGAGGGTTAGAGTAAGGGTAAGGGTAGGCGGAAGGGGAGGGAGAATCATCAGTTGTGTTCAAGTGAAGCTAACCACACAGTAATATCAAACTTACATTTAATAACACAACGAAATAAAATGTAACGGATCCACTGATAATTAATACTGGCTACGTTATGTAGTATTTCTTTCAGTAATATAATATAAAACATATTTGTAACAACATAATTAAAATGGCACTGATCCACATTAAATTAGTACTGGCTGTATCACGATATTTTTTTTAGAGAATAACAAATAACCTGAGCACCAAATGAGAAAAGAATATCTTCACCCTTTTAGAACCACTGTGTACTACACTACCCATGTAGGCCTATGTACAACGAAGTTCACAGACAAATGCGCATTCTTATAACTGCACTATGGAAAACTGCGCAAATGCAAACTAATTAGACTAAGAGACAAAAAATTGTCATGTTTCTAACATATTATGTTTTATTATGCTAAAATGTATATGTGATCATTTTAGGTTATGTCTATAAATACTCGATTAAAGAAAAATAATTGCCCATGTGCACTTCTTTTCTCGCCACAAATTATTCTCCTGTTGTGTGGTTTTTCTTTTAAACATTTGTGGTCCATACTTTCTTGTTTGTCTACTTATCAACCAGCTGCCATCGTGACGTTGTTTATGCTCTGAACAGTGTTTCTGCCAGACATATTTTCTCCGAGGGGGCACATTATATTTCCGAGGGCCGGGGGGGGGGGGGTTGAGGGGTGGGAGACACTGGTAAAAGCATATGTTTTCTATATGGATTTCATATTGTTCGCGGGGGGGGGGGGGGGGGGGGGGGCGGTAGACTTTCTTCGAAGGGACTCCCCCCCCCCCCCGAAGAGATGATTGGTAGAAACTCTGGCTCTGAAGGACAATGAAAGAAGAAGCAAGAGTTCTGGGTTTACTTGGGCTTTAACAAAGGAGCCACCCAAAACTGAGTCTTGGGGAGAAGTTTAGCTGCAGTTCATTAAAGAGTATGTCAAGTCAAGCTCTTTTGTAAAGAAACGAATCAAAACAATATTATGGTACTCTGGGTATCAAAGCAGACAATTTTAGTGTCGGTCCTATTTGTCCTTCAGTGAAGAATACACTGCCGTTATATTAAAGTTTGAAATTGTATTTCCTGAGAGGGGAGGCGTGATCAGATGATTGAGTAAACGACTGTTAAACCAAAAGTCTGGAGTTCAGATCCTAGGCTTAAGTTTGTAAGACGTTCCTGAGAATTGTATGTAGCTTATAATTTCTTCTGATGAAAACATCGACCTTATCAGGACATTACTGACGATTAGGTTGAGTAGCGAAAAATACACACAGTAGCCATACTACTTGTTATCAAAACAAAGAGCATAAGAACAAACCGAATTTATAAAGTTCAAACGGATTCCGTGTTCTGTATGTGGCGGGCGGACGGACCCGTGGCAAACTCAATCGAATGTTGGATTATTGATGTAATTATTGTACAAAAACTCGTCTTGATTGTAATAGTGTAATATTCTTTAAGCGTTGTTAATCTAAATGAATGATGAAAAAAAATTACTGATTGATAAAGTGCTAAATGGTAGGTAAAACAAGGATATTTTATTTTGCCTTTTATTTATTTTATAGCTGAACGTACAAATTCATAATTATTATTTTTTACCAATAAAAGTTAAGACGCCGCTCCTAAATGTCCTCTATGTTTATTTTCATCCTGCATTGTGTGGACAAGTTAGGGTTATTTTAGTTTGCTAAATCCAAACCAATGCGTCCTCTTGCGCCCCCACATGGTGCTATTTGGCGCCCGGTTTCTTCAAGTGAGCGCTATGACGCCTGCGTTCAGTTTAACCAGTACGATAGATTATGGATAAGATGGTGTATTATAGTCGTTTACTAAGTTGAATCAGGTGCGGTTTACTGTTAGCTATACTGTGAGCATTATGGTTTTTTATTATTTCGTTTACCTTTATGTTTATGTTGTGAGTTATTGTTTGTGTTTAGTTTTGAGTTTTTGTTTGAATTGTATTTTTTGTTTATGTTTGCGTTAGTGTTTTTGTTTGTGTTTGCTTTGTAATTGCGTTAATGTGTGCATTTTTGTTTGCGTTTGTGTTTGATTTTGTATTTGCTGTTATATTTGCGTTTTTACTTGCGTTCCTTTATGTTTGTGTTTGTGTTTTATTTGTGTTTGAGTTTGGGTTTGTGTTTTCATTTGTGTTTGCGTTTTGGCTGTTGTTGGTTGTGGTTAGGGTTAATTCGATAGATAATATATTCCCTAATGTCGGACATTAAACACACAATGGATGATGCTTTACTGTTAGGTATTTTACATATGCCAGTGCAGGCCTTGGGCGGGTCAATTTGTTATTAACAAAGTAAGTTGTTTACTTTACAGTTTTGTGAGAACAAAAATTACACGGTAAAATAGTGAGTTTTTTTTCGAAAATGTAACTAGCTATAGGACGCCGAAACATGATTCTTCATTTAATACACGAGCAACACCCCCAAGTAGAATAAGCAATAACAGATTCTATGGTATGTGTTATTCTCCATATTGTATTTAAGTAAAGATGTAGGCTACATCAATCTGGTAAAGTAGGCCTAACTAACTCGAATATAACAGACCAGTGTTGTTAGTGTCGAATGGTAAATGTAATAACTGGTTTTAGATCAAGTGAAACCTATACAAGTTGTTACATTTACATAGCTATTATTTTAAATTGTACAAAAAGTAGTATTTTAATTCGTCCTCTATAGGGTTAAGGAAGCTCAATAGTAAAATATAAACACGAGATTAACAACATTTTCATCAAAAATATTTGAACATACCGAATGCCTGCTTTACAACATAAGGCCAGCACAATAACCCGTTACCCCTATACTGCGGTATTATTATTAATATTTGTATCTGATACGTTAACTTGTAAGTAAATTTCAATTTTGTTTCGCAATCCTTGTTATTTATGTATGTAGGATACATCCCTGGCTTACATGCGATGATTAATTAGAGAAATTACGTTTTCGAAAATCAATTTTCGCATTCCTGTAACTGAGCCTTACACAACGCTGACCACATTCCTGCTTGAACCACGCCTAAAACTTAAATATCCATCACCACACATATAGCTGTCCTAAGCTTTTTCTCAAAGTCGATCACCTGACAAGACACTAACCTCATCATCACAATCTTTCAGTTAGACACAGTTTATTTGGAAGAAACAGATGGAAGGGAACACAAAAATTAAAACGACGTCATGAAATCGAAACTTCAACTGATAAGATGAATTATCTCCTTTCATCTATGACGTCGCATAGAGGCCTTCATCACATTTTTATCACTTGTCTACGGCATAGGCTACAGCATGACTTGTTGAAGAGAAATAATTTTTTAAAATTTCTACACCAAGTCAACACCTATTTATTGTTATTTTTTATATTTATTCAATGCTGAGTTAGTTTATCAAAAAGACACTACAATTCACAAAATACCGCAGTAGGAAAGATGAGAATAAAGCTAAGACTAGTTCACAAAGTGAAGAGAGGCAAGACGCAGATATTTTCGACAATTTTATTTATGCTTGAAAGGAATTATGGTATGGTATAGGCACACATTTTCAGACTCATTGGAGACTAGCCCAGGGGTCGGCAACCTTTTGAGACCGAAGAGCAAAAAGTTACAATTTTTTAAATTTCCCAGTTTTTAAAGAGCCGCCAACACTTTTTTTAAATATTATGATCTTTATTTAGGATTTGGTATATATATATATATATATATATATATATATATATATATATATATATATATATATATATATATATATATATATATATATATATATCAATGTTTGTGTGTGTGTGTGTGTGTTTTTCTTTTATGCATTACTACATCTTTCATCCGATCGCCATGAAACTTTGGGAAGTTGCAAAGAAAAAAAGTTTTTATATAAAAGTAAAGTCGATAGCGGTTTGACACCGTTCATCCGATCGTCATGAAACCTTCCGGAGTTGACTATTTTATGGGCGGCGTCCGGGTGGTGTATTTTTTTTTGTCAATACACCTTTTGGCGCCCAGAGTTCCGGAGCGGCTACGTTAGTACTTGGCATCCGTTAATCTTGCGTTCTGCTTATCGGGTAAGGGGTACTACTATATTCAGCGGCAAAACTGTAACAGGTGCAACCACCGGCGCCTCGTCGATTGCGCGATCCGAAGCGCCCCGGGCTCACTTGCGAGCATTATGTCGCCTACGTTCGTTTTTAAAAATAGGCTATACACTATAGACACGCTATAGTCGCTTACTAAATCGAATCAGGCTCATCCTCCTGCTTCTCTGCAGGGTGCGATTTGGCGCCCAGGGCTATCCTGCGAGCACCAAGCGCCTATCTTAGTTTTAAGGAGCACCCTACAATACGACATACGATGATTAAACCGAGCTAGGGGCCGTACGCAGCGCCACTGCGGTAGTGTAATCGGGTTCACGAGAGCGTCACTTTCCGTCCTCGACAATTAGGCGGTGAGTGATTAACTTACACTCAAGGCTTTCATACAGCACGCCATGGTGGTAGGCGGTAGTGTAGGTAGCCATTGCCTCGATAAATATGATCCAAACACGGGCATTGTTTACATTTAAATAACTCAGCTTTAGAAAACAAGGAAGTACATTGAAATAGGGAGTAACTAAATATTCTAATAGAATAGCGAGTGCTTATTGTTTATATTTGTTATTATATCGTTCATTACCGAGTGTTGCAGACTAATAATTTTATGAGTTTTAAAAATAAAATAAAACAATTATTAATAATTGTGCACCGAGCTGAAGAGCCGCACCTTAAGACCAAAAGAGCCGCAGGTTGCCGACCCCTGGACTAGCCTAGTCTCTCGTGACTACAGACAGGATGTCAATGATAAACATATATATATATATATATATATATATATATATATATATATATATATATATATATATATATATATATATATATATTTATTTATATATATATATATATATATATATATATATATATATATATATATAATATATATTATATATATATTATACTAGCGTACCCGATCCCCGCGCGTTGCCGCGGGGATAGAAGAAAGTCTGGCGAAATATGTTAGAAGGATATGACCAATGCATTACCAATCAAACGCGTGTCCTTCTTTTCTAAAACTGTGTTATTTAAATGTAAACAATGCTTGCGCTTGGATAATAATTATCGGGACACGGGTTTTCCTACACTACAGCATGAAAACCTTGAGTGTACATTAATCACTCACCGAAATAATGAGGTAGAACACACTTCGGTGACCCCCCGTGTGTCATGGACGCAGAGGAGCGCTCTCAGGAGCCCCACCCCCCAACCCCCCGAATACACTACAGGCGCCATCCTGTAGGATAACCCAGCGTGCCAAATAGCATCCTGTAAACAATGATGCAGATTTCATCATTCGCTAAAGTGACACAAATGAACAGGATTTTTTTCTTTAACACTTGTAAATTATTTGACGTGTTTTAAACTGATGTGTGACTGATGCAACATGTTAGCGTTACTAATAGTCTATTATTAGATGCTCGATCTCAATTTCTTTCTGGATCGTCTAATAATAGATGCTTATTGCATCATTCGCAAAGTGACGAAACTCCACAGTAGGCTCCTCATTAAAAAAGTTATTTTTTCATCTTTCGCAAGGTGACGAAACTGTACAGGATTTCCTCGCGTTACAAAGTTTTTTTTAGAAGCCTGTTGTAGTTTTACCGCTGAATATAGTAGTACCCTTACTCTCTATGCAGAACGCTCGATTTACGGATGCCAAGTGCCAACATAGTCGCTCCAAAACTTTGGGCGCCAAACCGCGTATTGACGAACATTGTACCCTACATGGCGCCGCCCATAAGAAACTTTAGTTTTCTTTTTCGCAGAAATATTCTCGGGAGTATTCTTATCTACTCCCTAAAGTTTCATGGCACTCGGATGCGAGTTTTATTTTATATATATATATATATGATTCCACTTTTGACCTAGCGATATATATTTCTTTACTTCGGCATATGAAGGGATAGTGTGGTCAACACTTTGCTCAACCGCCTTACTTTCCCTAACGTAAATCAGGTACTCATCAGAGCTGGGTGGACTCAGGTACGTCCTATTATTACAAATACGAGCCGAGATCCGAAATAGAGATCGTAAGGCTAGCAGTCAAACGCTTTACAATTCGTTATATATATATATATATATATATATATATATATATATATATATATATATATATATATATATATATATAATTATCTATATTGGCTTTCTTATGCAAAAACATGTACACATAAATAAATAAACGAATACTTACGTTGTGTATTAGCTGGACCAATGGAACCTGAATTAAAGTGATTAAAAAAATATATTATTTAAATACATATGTTTAAGTAGGTATACATGTATTTTCCCTCTCTCTCTCAAATTTCTCAGAGGAGGCGCCATTCAATTTTTGTCTATATACATTAGATACTTATAAAAGTCGGATGCGGTGTGGCACCGTTAATCCAATCGCCATGAAACTTTGAGTAGATAAGAATACTCCCGAGAAGATTTCTGCGAAAAAAAACTTAAAATTTCGTAATGGCGGCGCACGGGAGGGGTGTGATTTTTGTCAATACACGGTTTCACACCCAATAGTCCAGAGTGGCTATCAGCTCTTAGAATCAATAAATAGGGCGTGCTACTGCAACAGACGCAGCCGCCGGCGGCCCGTCAAATGCGTGACACAAAGAGCCCCGGGCTCTCCGCGAGCAATAAGGCGAGTAAGTTCGTTTAAAAAAGGCTATAGACACAATGGGCAACAATAATACCATATCAAATCAAGCTCGTTCTCCGGCGCCCCGCATGGGCCGATTTGGCACCAGGACTCACCCGTAAGCATTATGGTGCCTAAGTTCGTTTCAAAGAGTGCGATGCGCACTTTTTGTATTAATACACATAATTAAAAAGTATATGTTAAACAAATACTTTCGGCGGATTGTTTTTCCATCGCTACCTGATAGGATGTAGAATAAAGCCAGCAAGATCAATATCATCAGGCTTTCCATTTTTTTGAAACTCAACATTTTGTTTAGTTCCTAAAGATGTCCTTTCTTAAATTATAAAACATAATCTCTTGTAATTTCATTTTGCTATAGAAACGTTTATTTTTATAATAAGTAACCCTCACAGTTCATAGCTGATTATGTTTTATACTCTTATATTACTTTTTGTTCGGAGTATTTTGACTATAACATATATATATATATATATATATATATATATATATATATATATATATATATATATATATATATATATATATAATTAAATATCACACTTACGTAACATATGCCGGTACTTTTGGTAAGCAAGTGATAGCGTTTGTAAGTTTATAACATGTTCGATTTGTATTGGCTTAGCAGTGTGTACGATTTCTATTGGTTGACGATTTTTATTGGTTGTAAAATTAACACGTGTCTGCGTGGTGTCGTGGCAGTCTAGACCACGCATCTAAGGGCGAAGGTGAGCATCTGTTGTTGGTTAGCCACGGTGAGATAGGGGACTGATGACGTATGCGGGGCGTGGTTCTAGCAGTCAAGACAAACGTAGCAGCCACTGAGTGCAACAATTGGAGACGTATCTGATTATAATTATCAGGTAGTAATGCTTTGTGTAGGAATTAAAGGTGCATATTGGAATGTCTTAAGGCACAGGTTCCCAGAGGCGTAGCGACCCTTCCCTGCGCCCGGGGACATACTTTCCATTTGGCGCCCCCTTGGGAGCAAATTTTCGATTTGCACCCCCCACCCCTCGAACTTTTTATTTGCACCCCCCCCCCCTCAAACTTTCGATTTGCACCCCCCCCCCTCGAACTTTTCATTTGCACCCCCCCCTCAAACTTTCAATTTGGCGCCCCCCTAAGGTCGGCGCCCGGGGACATATGTCCCCTCCCCGCCCCCCCCCCCTCGCTACGCTACTGCCCCCCCCCCCCATTGTAACACATCGTCAAAAAAATATCAGAGCCACTCCCCCCCCCCCACCCCCTTGAAAAGTCATAAGATTATTGACGGGTACTCCAAGAAAATGTAAAGGTGGTATAACCAAATTACTTTCATTAGCCGAAAATATTACTTACTGCTTCACTGCAAAATTAAAATATAAAAAATTAAGTAACGACATAAAATATGAACCAATCACTGAAGCTAGCTTAAATATTCCCGAAAACATTGCTATGATTACTAAACGAACATTTCAGTAACTCGATATCTATATTAGGCTGATTTTAAAACAAAAGTATTTTTAAATTTAGGAATGCTTTAAAAAATAAAAATATATGACTCCAGACTTAACTCCCCCCTCCTCCCGTCAGCTCTAGTAATACACCGTCACTAATGTGAGAGCCTCACTCGCCCCTATTTAATTGGTGACGTCATTTATAGATGACGAGCCGACCCGCGGTGTATCATACGCCGCTATTTAGTTGTTTTTTCTACTTTTCAGTAATTCATAATTTGTGAATTCGACAGTACCAATGCTGCCACTGAAAATGTGTGCTTTAAAACACTAAACCCCCATCTCCCCCCCCCCCCCCCCCCGTGAAAGCAGCCTCCTCTTAGTTACCTCCTCTAAGTTTAAAATAGTTTCAAACTGAATTATCTGCCCCTAATAGCCGTCACCAAACAAAACATTTAGCGTGAACTACAACTCACCTGACCATGTGAGGGTGTGGGTGTGGGTGGGGGGGGGGGTGGGTGTGGGTGTGGGTGGGGTGGATGGGTGTGGGTGGGGGGGTGGTAGCGATAGAGAGGAAGAGAGGGGACTCCAAGGCGCGCGCTTGCAGCTTGTTTTCTAACGGCTCCCAGAAGAGAATTATATATATAGATACTTAATACTATGCAAGGTTTTACTGGTGTCTACATGTTTAACGGAATGATCAATAACTAGATTTACTAGATTTACTACAATAGTAAGATAAATCATTTTCAATCTTCAATGTACATATTTTTGCAAAGTAAAAATGCAACCCAAACACTTAAATATAATACTATAGGATCAAGAAAGAAATCGAAACATTTAAAATATATTTGTTTTTTAACATATACCAAGTTATAACTTAACATTTCTATCACATACACCATCTTACAACAAAGCTCGATGTCTTCCACCCCACGACTAAACTATGTTACGGGTTGTAGTACCTGAATTTGCGGACATATTCTCCCCTGGCCTTGTAGGATCTAATCTCTAGTGCAGGGCTCCCGTTGCTGCTTCCGTTACGTACTGTGATTCTGTGCTTGCCGACAGTTCCCGTACGGCCACTGATCTTGCCATTGAAGGACTTGAGGTTGTCGGGACGGAATCTGTTGAAGTCACGCAAGGCGTCATTGAAGTTGCCAAATCTGGGGACATATATACAGTTTCAGTTGAACTAAAAACATTTCCAAACATACTTGGTCTTTTTTTTTTCTCACCTCTGATATTGTCTTGTGATACTATAATTAAGTAAATCTGCTAATTAGTTAATGAGTGATCTCACCTCTGATATGGCCTGGTGATACGATAGTTAATTAAAGATACTAATTAGCTAATGAGTGATCTCACCTCTGATATTGCCTGGTGATACGATAATTAAGTAAAACTACTAATTAGCTAATTAGTGATCTCACCTCTGATATTGCCTGGTGATACGAAAATTAAGTAAAGCTGCTAATTATCTAATTATTGATCTCACCTCTGATATTCTCTGGTGATACGATAATTAAGTAAAGCTGCTAATTAGCTAATAAGTGATCTCACCTCTGATATTGCCTGGTGATACGATAATTAAGTAAAGCTGCTAATTATCTATTGATCTCACCTCTGATATTATCTGGTGATACGATAATTAAGTAAAGCTGCTAATTAGCTAATTAGTGATCTCACCTCTGATATTGCCTGGTGATACAAGCACCACTTGTGGTGACCCTGCCGGCCCTAGCAGATTTAAACAATGTACGAGCGGCCTTAGATAACACTTTGCCGGCTAGTGCAGGTAGTGAGCGCTTTCTTCTGGTCTCTGACTGTCTCTTCAACAGTTCGTTTTTCACAACATCAAGGTCTGAAATCATACCAGTACAACAACAGTTCGTTTTTCACAACATCAAGATCTGAAATCATACCAGTACAACATTTCTTTTTTTCACAACATCAAGGTCTGAAATCATACCAGTACAACATTTCTTTTTTTCACAACATCAAGGTCTGAAATCATATCAGTACAACAACAGTTCGTTCTTCACGACATCAAGGTCTGAAATCATATCAGTACAAGAACAGTTCGTTTTTCACAACATCAAGGTCCGAAATCATACCAGTACAACAACAGTTCGTTTCTCACAACATCAAGGTCTGAAGCAATTAACAGTAGGCGTATTCGTGTTCTTTATAAAGCGAGACAACTCCGTGACTTTTATCAACAAAATCTAATAGCATTGTAGTTTCCCCTTAAAGTAGTCCCGAAGAGGAAAGGGTGAATTAACAGGCACGCGGGAATTTTTTTTTTTTTTTTTGGTTAGAACAATGAGAATAATTACTTTTTCAGCGTTCAGGAATTATAGACTCTTGAATTAAACTTTTTTAAACAAATGAGCTTTACCTTATTTATCTTGAGAAAGCTACCTGGAATGATTTTTATAAATGTAATGTTAATTATTTATTTGCCTTAGTTATGGAAACAAGGTTATTTTCACTATGACTTTCTGTGAATAGATAAAGATACTTTATAATTATTGAAGGATATGTACGTCTCCGTGAGTTTATATTCGTTTATCATCTGTTTTTGCTTCAATTATTCTTTCAAAATTTAAATTCTTTTCTCTCACCAAATACACGAAGTATCTGCTGAAGATGGTCTTCCGGCTTATATCTTTGTGGACGTCACAGGAAACCTTGCCATGTCTGTTACTGTTTTCTGTATACTGGCCCTACTGACTATTGTAATTATGGCGAGGCGCCATAAGTTTATAGGTGGGGAGCTGGGTGGACCCAGGTGCATACAAATTTTAACAACTGTTACTTTATCTGCTTTTTGGATACTATATCTTCTTATTTCATCTTTGGTAATATACTGTTGTATTTCAGGTTTTTAACAACGTATTTATACATTGAAAATACCAAGACACAAAGCCATTGTCTACATCGTTTACCGTCTGTGTATAAATCTGGTATGACTATTTTTGTTTGTTTTAGTTGTGTATGTTTTGTTGCTGTTTAGATTATATGTAATGCTCGGCTTAAGTTAGGCTGTTGTGATTATATTCGTTTGATTTGTTAAAGCCGATCTGTAAAAAAATAAATATATAGAGTCTGCTTGTATAGATCTGATTTTGTAGAGCAAAATTAGTTTCTAATAAAAAATATTTATTCTATACTGTAATGCGTCTAAGAGACATATCCGGTACTCTTGTATCTATGGTTTATGATTGTTGATTCAAACAAATGTCTTTACACGTATGCTACATCCCTAAAGTTAAATTCATCACCTGACCCCCCCCCCCCACCCCATTGGATGTCAAATTTGAAAAGCTAATATTTTATTGGTCTGTTGATACCACAATTATATTCCACTTGTTCTAGTCACGAGAAGCAACCCGTGCTTTGAGTTAAAATACTATTAAAATTAGAGTTATTTCCCTTTCATCATTTAAATTGAAATTTTCCGACATTAGCGTTTGAGTCCTCCAATTAAAAAATAATAAAAAAAAAAAAAAATCCCCTATAACATGGCGACTGGTGGGACTATCATGTCTTGCTGCAATAGTCATGAAATTTGTCGGATATGTCACACAATTGACAAGACTAGAGAAGACTGTCCTAGATTCAATTGGTACACATTTTAAATAACTAGCTTTGTTTAAGATTGAGTTAGTATTCAAAGAAAATAAATATTCTGCTTAGGGTGTTTCATAACATGCTAGTTTTATTAAGCCCCAAAATTAATAATGACGTCTGTCAGTGGAATACATTTATTTCTATATCTGATTTTCGTAAAAAAATTATTCATTAATTGTGATAAAATTACTCGTACTATACAAATGAAAGCTGAAATCTATGTTCGGATTAAAATAAAAATCGTGTAAATGTAAAAATGGCATTCCTACGAAACAAATTAATTAAGTAGCTTATTAATTGAAAGGAGTTTATAAAACCCCAGGTATAATCCCAGGGAACTTACTGGAAAAACAAATAGTCAATGCTAATTATTATTTTTGTTACCTCCCCTTGTACACTAAACAAAATGTTTCCTCTGCAAAAATCGTGAAAAAAATGCTAAAAATGTTATATGACAAACGTTAATTAGCTGATTTAATCTCTTCAGATACGCTCTCTAATTAAGATTGGCTGTGGAATCTGGAAACTCGTGATTTTAGAAAACCTTCAAACATTTACGTCTTTTACAGTTATTTTAAGCGAAGAGCCGATGTATTGTTTACAAATGCGTCTTAAAACTCTTAATGCCAAGCAAATAGCTGGACACAAACTGATTCACAATTTTAAGTCGACTACAGCCTCGAACATTCTATCTATTCCATCTCTCATGCCAACCACTGGCAGATTGCAGGTCGGATGTTGTTGTTGAAACAAATCACGTGATACACACGACCCTGTAACGTGCTAGTCATCGTCTGCTCGAAGTCTGCTCGCACTAAAACCATTAATCTATTACGTTGATGAATTGGTCTGTTACACAACGGACTAAAACATCTGCGCAGTGTTTTTAACAAGTTTGACATACAACGTGATCTGGTGATAGGAATTAAGGGGGGTAGGTCAGATGGTGTAGTGTAGGTGCTGGGATCAGCGGGGTAGGTCAGATGGTGTTGTAGTGTAGGTCATGGGATCAGCGGGGTAGGTCAGATGGTGTTGTAGTGTAGGTCATGGGATCAGCGGGGTAGGTCAGATGGTGTTGTAGTGTAGGTCATGGGATCAGCGGGGTAGGTCAGATTGTGTTGTAGTGTAGGTCATGGGATCAGCGGGGTAGGTCATATGGAGTTGTAGTGTAGGTCATGGGATCAGGTGGGGTAGATCATATGGTGATGTAATGTAGGTCATGGGATCAGCGGGGTAGGTCATATGGTGTTGTGGTGTAGGTCATGGGATCAGGTGGGGTAGGTCAGATGGTGTTGTAGTGTAGGTCATGGGATCACGTGGGGTGGGTCAGATGATGTAGTGTAGGTCATGGGATCAGGTGGGGTAGGTCATGTGGTGTAGTGTAGGTCATGGGATCAGGTGGGGTAGGTCATATGGTGTTGTGGTGTAGGTGATGGGATCAGGTGGGGTAGGTCAGATGGTGTTGTAGTGTAGGTGCTGGGATCAGCGGGGTAGGTCAGATGGTGTTGTAGTGTAGGTCATGGGATCAGCGGGGTAGGTCAGATGGTGTTGTAGTGTAGGTCATGGGATCAGCGGGGTAGGTCATATGGTGTTGTGGTGTAGGTGATGGGATCAGGTGGGGTAGGTCAGATGGTGTAGTGTAGGTGCTGGGATCAGCGGGGTAGGTCAGATTGTGTTGTATAGGTGATGGGATCAGCGGGGGTAGGTCATATGGTGTTGTAGTGTAGGTCATGGGATCAGGTGGGGTAGGTCATATGGTGATGTAATGTAGGTCATGGGATCAGCGGGGTAGGTCATATGGTGTTGTGGTGTAGGTGATGGGATCAGGTGGGGTAGGTCAGATGGTGTTGTAGTGTAGGTCATGGGATCACGTGGGGTGGGTCAGATGATGTAGTGTAGGTCATGGGATCAGGTGGGGTAGGTCATGTGGTGTAGTGTAGGTCATGGGATCAGGTGGGGTAGGTCATATGGTGTTGTGGTGTAGGTGATGGGATCAGGTGGGGTAGGTCAGATGGTGTTGTAGTGTAGGTGCTGGGATCAGCGGGGTAGGTCAGATGGTGTTGTAGTGTAGGTCATGGGATCAGCGGGGTAGGTCAGATGGTGTTGTAGTGTAGGTCATGGGATCAGCGGGGTAGGTCATATGGTGTTGTGGTGTAGGTGATGGGATCAGGTGGGGTAGGTCAGATGGTGTTGTAGTGTAGGTCATGGGATCACGTGGGGTGGGTCAGATGATGTAGTGTAGGTCATGGGATCAGGTGGGGTAGGTCAGATGGTGTAGTGTAGGTGCTGGGATCAGCGGGGTAGGTCAGATGGTGTTGTAGTGTAGGTCATGGGATCAGCGGGGTAGGTCAGATTGTGTTGTAGTGTAGGTCATGGGATCAGCGGGGTAGGTCAGATGGTGTTGTAGTGTAGGTCATGGGATCAGCGGGGTAGGTCAGATGGTGTTGTAGTGTAGGTGCTGGGATCAGCGGGGTAGGTCAGATGGTGTTGTAGTGTAGGTCATGGGATCAGGTGGGGTAGGTCATGTGGTGTAGTGTAGGTCATGGGATCAGCGGGGTAGGTCAGATGGTGTTGTGGTGTAGGTCATGGGATCAGGTAGGGTAAGTCATATGGTGTTGTAGTGTAGGTCATGGGATCAGGTGGGGTGGATCAGATGGTGTTGTAGTGTAGGTCATGTGATCCCAAATTCTATGAACGAAGTGCTCAAAGGATCAAGTTCCTGTGCTGTAATAAAAAAGATCGTATATGTAACAGAGTTGTATGATATTATTTCTAGACCACAGTAATGTTTTATGTAACAGCAGTTGTATGATATCATTTCTAGGTTAATGTGTACATATTATGTCTTACTATTGCGTAAGAACCTTTTATCTCATCAAATTTCTCACAACGAGCGACTGACCTAACCAGCTAATTACCTTCAAAGCTTCCAGAGGGGAAATTAATGTTGAAATCATTAATTTTTTAAGCATTATTCGCCATACCACTAAAAAAAAACGATATCCTGTTTAAAATTAAACTTGATGATCTAATTAAACAACATTTATCACGTACACACACACACACACACACGCACGCACACATACTCACACACGCACACACACACACACACACGTTCCAATCTTGGCCAGAAATGAAGTATTGCGACATGGCTGATTAAGCCAATAGAAAGATGATTAACCGGGCGATATTTTACAAAAGAAAACAAACCAAGCATGCCAGTGCATTGTGGTCCTAG